TCTACCTAAGGTGGAGAAGAAACAAGAACTACAGTGTCCTGAAAAAAGTGCTTCATACAGATTTCTGCTCCTTTTGTATGTTGTCATGTTTATGCAACCGGTTGAATAAAAAAGAAATAAATTTCAGATCATTGTTTAAATTTGAGAATTAGGGTGATGTAGGGTAAATGAAGATTAAATTTATTAAAGGGAAGAAATTAAAACAACCTGGCCCATTTCAATACATTATTGCGCACCTTTTTAAATCATGACAGAGATTACCACAATTATTCTTTAGTTTTAAAAGACCCAAACAATCCTTATTACAGGATTAATCCTTCTGCCCTTTGGACTGCTTTTAAAGTTTCTTTTTCAGTTTCAGTTGTTTGTCATTCTGTCATTCTTTTGTGTTATATTTAAGACGTGTTGCATTTTTTTAGTTACTTTCTATTGCCCCCTTGTGCCAGTCTCCTTTCCCATAGCTCCCTTCTTGGTAGTTCTATCCATAGCTGCTCCATATCAGCTGATTAGCCCAGTCTTTGTTCTGTCTCCCATATATACTGTACAGTTCCTGGTTGCTAGTTTGTCTTCCTAATTTGACTCCTTATGTGTTTTCGCTTTTTGGTTTTCTGCATTTTTTTCTTTGATTTTACTTCTGTTTGCCATTAAATCAGCAAAAACTGCATGAGGAGGCAGAGGTGAGTTTTTGGGTCCTCAACCAACCTCTAAGTTGACACCAGGTGTAAAATTGACAACAAAAAAACGAACACAGAACCTGTCTGACAACATAAAGTAGGCTAAACTGTCTGAAAAACTAAAGCCCCTCTCACGCCTTGATGATTAGCCAGCGTATGCCTGACATACGGAAAATCGGCCAAAACGCTGGCATAGGTTTGATAAGGTATTGATCAGTTTTGTAGAAGTTACGAGCAAGCTGAAGCACGCTGGCACAAGTCGACATATTACATCGAGAAATTTTGAGCATTTTCTAAATTTCTTGAAGTATGCCAGTGTTTGCCCCTACTCATACTTGGGCCATTAGTTACATAGTTACAGGTCAGTTATTTGATAGTTGACATACGCTAAGTGTAAGTTACCCCTAAGTCGTTGTGTCTAGCTTATCCAAAACCTACGAGTGCATAACTTATGCGTAACTTATAAAGACCTTATCTCCAACGCATATCAACATATTTGACGTGTTCCAAATGAGTATTGAACATATTTCTAACTTACAGCTAGTGTATAATGGCATATTGTCAGCATTTTTTTATAAAAATGGGTTCACAGGCGGAAACCGTCAGTACTCCTCCAGACGTAGACTTAGACACTTAGACTTTTATTGCCATTTTGTATACACAGAGTGTATACCAAACAAAATTTTGACCGTTTCTCAATTCACAAGAACACTAGTACGGACTTGTGTCCTCACCAAGTATGTTTCTAAGAATAACACAGGAAAGTGTGAACTCTGGGAGAATGGGAGCACGCAGCATAAAAATGGTTCAATTGGAACAGAAGCATACTTGTGACGTCACCACACTCTCTGCTCGTCGGGAGTTGCATTTCACCTTCTGTTATTAATAGTCTCTAGATAATAATAAGTTCTTACCTTTTTCGTTTGGGTGGAGAAATAATAATTAACACAGTCAAATAAACACAAATCAAATGAACATTTGGCCAAATAAAACAAAATAATCGCCATCGGTCTGTTTTTCAGTGTAGTCATGTTTTACTGATCGTGACTGGCTGGATGTGCTCTTTTCATCCTCTGACATGGGAGTTGGCTCGGAGCTCATCTGCCTAGCTGTGTGTTTCCTGGACGGGGCCGCCTTTTACAGCTGCCTTTTGTATCTCTGCTTCTGTCTCCTTGAACCCCAGTCGGCCTCAGCAGATGGCCGCTCACACTCAGCCTGGTTCTGCTGGTTTCTTCCTGTTAAAAGGGAGTTTTTCCTCTCCACTGTCGCTACCAGCATTCTTAGTGTGAGGGATTGCCTTCGAGTCAACAAGTCAATGCAATTAACTGATTTTCCTTAGATACAAAACTTTGAATCAATTTGACTGTATGATCTGGTTGAATTGTAAATTGCCTTGAGATAACATGTTTTGAATTGACGCTTTATCAATAAACTGATTTAAATTGACCCAACGAAAGACAAAACTGGAGCTGAAGAACTGAGACATAATTACAGCTTGATGTAGGAACTAGTTAACATCAGGAGGCAATGGCAGGATCAAGCAAAGACATGTAAAACTATAGGTAAGAGTGGAAAAAATGCATGGCAAATATCATAATCAGGAGGAGATAAGGAAGCTGGAAGGGGGAGCAAGGATTGAATGAACAAGAACAGAGAAAAACACAAGGGGATTTTAAACCAGGAGGCCAACAGAAAAATATAGAATAATACATACATCTAACAATATTGGACAAAGGGAAATGAGCTGAAGAATATAACATTTGATACACCTTTTCCTCTGACCCCAGCTTTATGATTTACTCCACTGACTCACTGCCATCTGGAGTTATATAATAACAGCAATGAAATGGTAAAAAAAAAAAACTCAAATGAAAAACCACGACTGAAATACCTGGAGTGTGTGACATTCAGACAGGAATATTTCAGAGGTTAGGCATTGGGGTGTTTTGGAGCTACTGTGCTTCTTCGGGACTAGAATGACTTGAGGATTGACGTGTAATACCTGTAAAGTGCTTAAAGAAAGTTTTTAGCCCAGGTCAAAGAGACAGAGCTTTCAGAAATATTTCTATCCTTCCAGGGAGAAAACAGTCAGAAATAAATTCTATCGTTATCAGATGTGCCACCTAGCAACAACCCTTTGTGTGAATGCACCCAAGACCAGTTCAGTACTAAGAACATCAGACACACCAACCACCCACAGACCCAATTTCTGACAGCTTCCTGCTGCTCTGCAGCATATGAGTTCCTCAATCTTTCATCCCCCCTGCACAGACACATCATCAGATTAATGCTGTGTGTTTACATCCGCATTTTTGCAATTAGGTTTCATCTAAAACTGATGGTTACATGTTGATTTCTACAATAAATAGCAAAATCTCTCGACATGTAAAGATAAAACTATCAAATCAAATACCCAAAACATTGATACAACAAATACAATATTTATTAAAACAACAATTCTGTGTGTTTATTTCAATCCCAACACAATTTTTACTTAGGAGTATCTGTATTACTTTTACTACACGGTAAAATGATCTTTTGTGCCTTTTTGCAGCCTTGGCTTCCACGCAGAGCAGATACCTAAACCTACATTTCAGTTGTTTTCCTGATTATTTATCATCTTGCCCATCAGTTCAGGTGGACAGTCATGTCTTGATAATATACTTTCTTCCATTTTCAGATGATGGATTGAACTATGCTATGTGAGATGTTCAGACCTGAAGTTGCTTCATAAGTTGAAACTGCTGCAAACCTCCCATGTCTCCTTGACTGTGGACAATGCGCCTTGTTCTCCACGGTGCTTTTTGTTTTTTAATGTTCTATCTGAGGCTTTTTTTGGTTTTTTTAGCAGACCTGACATTAAATGACAAACATTTGGAACTTCTTAGAATTTGCACCAGAGTTTATGAGAGAAATTTAAAAAATTATCAATTTTATTCCGAAATTGTGAAAAATATATTTTTTTCATGCTTTTTTAAAATAATGTATTACTTCAATTGAATCTATTTGAAATCCAAATTAAATAGTTTGTTTTTGAAAAAGTTTGGGAAGGGGATATGTATACATTTGTTGAATAAATTCGTTTTGATTTCTTAGTTATTAAAGATGGTAATATTCTGTAATATTGTCTGTTTTAAAGAAAATAAAGAGAAATTGCAGAATATACTAGGTTGTAATAAAAACCTCCACACTACATAATTTCTCTCTGTTTCCTCTGGTTGCTTCAGCATCCTTTGCTCCCATATTAATATTTAAAACTGCCAGCATGGGTGGTTCTAGAGAGGGGCCAATGGTGCCGTAGACCATGTCCTGGCCCCTGTACTGAAGACATAATACTCAAATTCTAATGATGATATGCGTTGGAACAAAAATGGTTACTGATAGGTCTTTTGGATCTATTTAATTTGTTTTCTTTACAAATTCTGTTTTACTAATTATTAAAAAATCAATAAGGTGATAGCTTTAGTGGTATTGTGATAGGATCCCTGTTTTCATCTGGTAAATGTTTTTTTTTTTTTTTGTTTCAAAACAAAAAATGCTCTCTTTTTACAGCTGAATTGATCCGTTTTTCTTGAGTTCTAATTCAGATTTTATCGAAAACTTTAACTTAAGTCAAAAATATGTAAAATTCCTAAATTATGATTGTCTATTGACCTAATAAGACATAGAATTTTAATTCAACCTAATTGAATATAAATTTGACTTCATGCAGCTCTCTTAATATATTTGAATCCCTTGCCCTGTTTTTTTTATTTCATGCTTTTTTGGGCCCCCATGGACACACGCGGCCCCCCTCCTGGCCCCCTAGTACATTTTTGTCTAGAACCGCCACTGACTGCCAGTCTCTGACTCTGGCACATTCAGCAGCGCCGCATCGTGACTATAAAGTTTATTCTTTGTGCTACAGCGCCAAAGCAGCTTTGCTCACCATCCTGTCTCCTCTGACTTTGGCATTTATATATATATAAAATAAAGTTCATCTCACTTCAGTCATGGGAGACCTTTAGGTTTCTTAACAGGGACAAATAAAAGAAAATGAAAGTCTGACCTGAGGAGACAAACTAGATAAAGAAAATCGGATTAAAATGAAACAAAAGCATTAAAGTACATAACATCCATTAATGAAAACAATTTTTTTTAAACTAAACCCATAATAGCCTTTAGTGCAAGGTTTATCTTTGTTTTTCAAAAAGCCAAAGTGGGAATCAGTTCTTGTAGAAGCGTTCATTCACATAACCCATTGCGCACGAGTTGGTGACATCAGTAGGATCGAGGGATTCAGAAAAATTACTCCGGGGATTGTGTGACGGCAGTGATCGGGGAGTATAAAAGCGAGGGAAGACGCTGTCAGCTCATAAACCTCCAGGATCTGTCCTTAAGGACCACCAAGAGCTCAGAGAAGGGGAGAGAAACCATCATCATCACTGCCAGCGGTGCCTCTGGGTGGGAACGAAGAGAACTTCAATACTTTTCAGGTGAACCTGCAGCTTTGCCTTCAAACACTTAAAACACAATCTAGATTTGAGTGTATGCTTTATTTTACCTGGCTGCATAGAGTTTTTCTGCATCTAAGACTTTGAAATATTTTATGTGTGTATTACAGTCTTACACTGCAAAAAAGTTAAGAAAATCTTCAATTAAGTGCATTTACCCTTAATTTTACCCTTAAAAAAGATGATTTGCCAATAGAATGAGTATTTTTTACGCTTACAAGAAGATAATTAGATAATATGTCCTTGAAATAAGACAATGCAATTTTTTTTTTATTTTAAATGTAAAGTGTCTTACTTTCCTCCACAATTCAAGAAAGAAATCACTTATATTAGGAAAAAAAAAATACTTACGGTATTTAGATTTCATTTTTTTGCAGTGCATACGACTAACTTATTACAACTCCTCTTCTAATTGAAACATGACTGGTTATAACATCTTAACTAGATTTTTTTTCTTTCTATCTTAGTCCAGGGAAAAATAAAAGCAATGAAACCGGCAAGCCTCTTCGTCTTGGCATCTTTTCTGATCTGCAACTTGGCGGTGTCAGAAGAACAGGGTCTCCCTGCTGAGGATGAGATGGACCGAAGTACCACTATTGACAACATTATACTACAGAGGGCACAGGACATCCTGTTACGCTCTATTCTCAAAAAGCTGCAAAATGAAAACGACAGAAATGGTGCGTAAGACTCATGATTTGCGTATGTTTTGTGTTTTTTTAAGAAAGAAAGTCGACAATGAAGCAGATCAGAGTGACTTAGGTCTCAAGAGGGAATTATGTTTTAAGTAGATTTTGGGAAAATATTTCCTGTGAACATAATTCTGAATGTATCCATAAATAAGTAGGCTATATGTAATAATGTTGGAGATTTTATTTGTATCCCCAAAAGGTGTTTGATTGCGCAAGAAGAAGCTATTTTGTGCGCATTTTACGCACGACCCAAAGTGTGGTGTTACTGTAAAGTCATTCCTGTCGCACTCTAGCCTACAAATCCAGTAGGTAAAATAATACTAAAGAAGTCATCCATCCCTTTTTTTTTCCAGATGGGATTTTCTCTCAGCCAGAATGGGTGACAAAAAGACAGCATCCCGGTAAACGGTACTTGGAGGATCTGGAGAAGCGGCAGCATCCGGGCAGAAGAGAAGGGGGCGACGACGCGCAGCTCTGGGATGTGCAGAAAAGACAGCACCCCGGCAAGCGCGAAGACGAGATGCATTCGTTCCTGGATTTCCAGAAGAGGCAGCATCCAGGGAAGCGCTCCACCGTGGAGTACATTCCCGACAGCCCCACCGCACTGCTCGGCGAACTTTCAAAGCGACAGCACCCGGGCAAGCGCTACCTGGTGCTGCACAGCAAGCGCCAACACCCAGGTAAGCGCTTTCTGGAAGAAGAGGACGGAGAGGCGGGCTTGTTTGAGGATGGAGAGGAAGATGCGAGCGAGCTGGAGAAGCGTCAGCATCCAGGGAAACGCTTTTGGGATAACTCCAGTCCGGAATTAAGCACCAGCAATCCATGTGAAGTTTTGGACTCTGACAGCTGCAGTAAGACCAGCCTGCTGCTCGACTTTCTGGAAAACATCAACAAAAGTCAGGAGAAGAGACAACACCCCGGGAAAAGGTTTGCACCAGAGGAGGATCTGGAGGAAAGAGAGTAGCAAAGAATATACACAGCTCCTCTGCTTTATATGTATTATAAATAAGTTATCAGAATGAAATATTAAAAAAAATATTTTAATTATTTAACCCTTTGAGCCACTTTTCTTTGGCACACAGTTTGTAACATTTACGCAAAGGATTAATCTGAAATTCTTTGGAGGGCTTGTGCGTAATCTCAAAATCTTCGAACTTTGCTGTAAATACAGATTCAACAGAAGGGATATGCTGATGTAGATATAGTTATTTTTCAGTTATGTTAGTATTTAATTATGTTTACTGGAATATTTATGACACAACATAGGATTATAAGTACTGGCTTAAGCAATGTTGCCTCTGTGAGGGAGCAAAGCTCTGTCAGTGTAGCACATACCCTGAGTCCAAAAATAATGAAAACTGCCTCGCTTGCATTAAATAAATTTATTGAATGATTGAATTGTGTTTTATTTTGTACTAATGTGAGATATAAACTATTCTACTGCAAATTAAGTGTGACATTTTTTATTGTTTTAAATTGCCCAGAGGGTTGAGCTTAGGATGCATCTGGTAAGCAATGGGGGGAGTGAGCTATGTGCAGCAGATTGCAATGATGTTGCAGCTATATCAGCTGTATCAATTCCATAGCAGTCAGCCAGATGTATTGAAGCATCATTAATGCAAAACAATAACGGAAATATGTCAAGTGCCCCCACTTTAATTAGAATCCTTCCATCATTAGTGGTCCTTATTTAAAGTATCATTTAGGATCAGATGATTCAGACAAAACGTTTCACTTTTGGCACACACATTTAAAAAAATAGATGTTTAAATTTCGCCAGTTAAAGTGGTGTAACTATTTGATTAAATGTTTTTTCTATTTTGGCTGATTTAAATTCATATCTATGAATAGAAGATGTGTAAATTCCAATGCTGAAAATGTTCCAATTAAGTTTGATAAAAGACCTTTTTAGTTAAACATACAACCTTTTTACATCCAGTTTATTCTTCATTTTAAAAGGATTGAAAAATAATAATTAAAAAAATAAAAGTTTACTGAAGTTGTAATAAAAATTTAAAATTTATTCTAAAATGATGCCACGATTTTCTGTTTCTTGGATAATTCTGCCTCCGGGTTTGAAATCCCAGCAAGGTAGCAAAAAAAAATTTAGAAGTAGTGCTGCCACTAAACTAGTCCGTCCGTCCATCCATCCATCCATCCATCCGTCCGTCCATCCATCCATCAATTCATCCATCCATCCATCCGTTCATCAATCCATCCATCTGTTGAACCATCCCTTCATCATTCCGTCCATCCATCCATCCATCCATCCGTCCGTCCGTCCGTCCATCCATCCATCCATCCGTCCATCCATCCATCCATCCATCCGTCCGTCCGTCCGTCCGTCCATCCATCCTTTCATCCATCCATCCATCCGTTCATCAATCCATCCATCTGTTGAACCATCCCTCCATCCATCCATCCGTCCGTCCATCCATCCGTCCGTCCGTCCGTCCATCCATCCATCCTTTCATCCATCCATCCATCTGTTGAACCATCCCTTCATCCATCCGTCCATCCATCCATCCATGCATCCGTCCGTCCGTTCTTCCATCCATCCATCCGTTCATCCATCCATCCGTCCCTCCCTCCCTCCCTCCCTCCCTCCCTCCATCCATCCATCTGTTGAACCATCCCTTCGTCCATCCATCCATCCTTCCATCCATCCGTCCATCCATCCGTCCGTCCATCCATCCATCCATCCATCCATCCATCCATCCATCTGTTGAACCATCCCTTCATCCATCCATCCATCCATCCGTCCGTCCGTCCGTCCATCCCTCCCTCCCTCCCTCCCTCCGTCCATCCATCCATCTGTTGAACCATCCCTTCATCCATCCATCCATCCATCCGTCCGTCCATCCATCCTTCCATCCATCCATCTGTTGAACCATCCCTTCATCCATCCATCCATCCATCCATCCATCGGTCCGTCTGTCCGTCCGTCCATCCATCAATTCATCCATCCGTCCATCCATCCATCCATCCATCCATCCATGCATCCGTCCGTCCGTCCGTCCGTCCATCCATCCATCCATCCATCCATCCATCTGCTCCATTCGCTCGTCCAAAGCTGTTCTCTCTGCTTTGACTATTTTCTTTTATAAATTCTGTTTGAGGAGGTATTTTCCTAGTTAGATTTGCTTTAATCATTCCCACCCACTCTTTTAATGATAGTGGCTCTAGTTATAATCAACTTATGACAGTCTTTTGACTTGCTAAAAGAAGAATCAAGATGTATTCTCCTAAAAGAATGATGCTTGTTGCAGAAGGAAACACAGCCACAAATATTTTGTAAATGCATGTGAATCTTGATCAAGTAGAACATCTTACAAGATGTTTCTTTTACACACTGTCTCAAACTTTTTGATACAGAAAAACTTTTTTAAAGGGTACTAATTTTTATAAAGGTCACAGATGCTGATTTTGAAAACGTTGTTTATTTCACTAGTCCTGATTTTAAATGACCTACGTCCCTCTACTTTCCACATCTCTTAAAATTTAAATATAAAAGGGCAATAAAGGAGATTGAAATCTCAACAAAACTTTAAACCTACATTCCATATGTATAGGAAAAAATGGATCCTATAAATTTATTTCACACAGACGGACAGATGTATTTCAGGTATTCCTGAAGGTTGCTACTGAAGCAACCTTTAATAATTTAACACCTCATTACAGCCATGTGTTGATTGGATCCATACTTCACCTAGATGCTCTTATTCATGATAAAGGATCCCAAACCAAATATTAAATGTGAGTCACTTAAGCTAAAATTTAGAATGTGGCATTTAGTTTTTTTCAGTTCATTTCTTTAGTTCTTATTCAAAATGCATTCAATATAATACAATCACACAGACAGTTAAAAGTGTTTAAAGGGATGTGCCGGTGAAGATTCCCAGTCATCCAGGTCATAGTCATTCCAAAAAAGTTTCCAACTTTGAAGACGTTTCGCTTCCTAAACTTCCTAGTTTTTTCAATTTAAAATGTCAGAAATAGCCTTAAAATCAATGCTGTTTCTGACATTTGAATTGGAAAAAGCTTCCTGAATAGGAAGCAAAACATCTTCAAAGTTTGAAACAAAATCCAGTGGATTGTTTTTGAGCTTTTTTGGAATGTTAAAGGGATTCATCACCATCTAGCAGTGCACCTAATGAATGAAAAAAGTTACAGACTGGTGCCTGTGTGAGACCTATGGACGCTGTGGAGTGACATCTATTAACAGCAGGTAATAAGTTTTGCATCCAAGCTCATCCAGCGTAGGCTAACAAACTAGCCCTCTCTGCCTTTTTTCTAAGGGTTTAACTTTGTGATGAAAGTTGGTGAGGACATTCGGGTGGTGGCTGATGGACCTACAGTTACTCGACCCGAAAGCTTTCAACAGGGTTTTGAAAAAATACAGATCCGATGATGTTATACTGATAGGTGGGGCTCAGGAGGAGAACGAGGGAGGAAAAAAACACATACTCAAAACGCTCTGAACACAGACAGCTGCACCCAACCCCAGTTACTGCTGGCTAAAGTAAATGAGCAGAAAGGGGGGAAAAGCTGATATTATTGGTGGGCACTGTCCCAGCCAGTCCTCCAGAAAGTTAAACCTGTGCTTGTTTCTAACAGAGCAAAATAAATGACACTGTTATATTGAATTACATCAGCAGACAGTCTGCTCCCTTGTAAATTATCTATATTCTAAAATCTAAAATGTTGTTTTTTAATTACTTATTATTATTTTCATTTTTTTATTTGTTTCTTTAGCCTCTCACTTGATATAAAGTACAGATGTTCCTCCATTGAAGCAGAAAGTGGAAGAATGAATTATTAAACAATTGCTTTTGCTTGTTTTTAATTCTTTGACCACCAGCAGCACATTTCCAGATACAGCTAAAAACATGTAGGTGACATGTAAGTTTTCCTCTTTCAACTTCTCTAATCGAAAATCCAGACTCAACATGGCATCTCCCATTGGGTGCACCACCCCTCATGTATTTATAAACTACTAATTTGAAGCTATAAGAATGCTCCCAGACTTTCTTATAGACTTTCACAGTATATGTATTCATTCAAGCAAAACAAAAATTTTGCAAATGAAAAGCCAGAATTGTTAGACACTGTCCCTTTAAATCTAAGAGAAACCCTACAGATTTGTATGAGTCATTGTGAAGAATCTCTTGCTTTTTCAACTATGAAGGCATTATACTTTACATTCAATCAACTTGGTTTAGTGGATTTAGGTGACATTAAGTAAAGTGAGTTTGTTTATTCGGTGGTAACTCAGAGGATGGTGGTTCTGCGTCCCTGCTTGATCTCCTGCTAGTTCCTCACTTCAGTTAAGTACAAATTGCAATCTACTGTATATAACTATACATAAAACTTCATTTTGGTTTCTACCCCAGTTGCAAGGACATAAAAACATAGACGAAGATTTTGACCATGAAACACACTGAAGTCTCTGTCAGTCAGCCCATCTTTTTCATCACCTGAATCAGGATACAGACATAACCCATACTGATGACATCAGCACTACAGGAGAGGCTTTGCTCCTCTACATATACAAGCTCTAGAGAATAAAAACATTCAGATACCTGTTTAAAAAAAAATAAGACAAGAGAATATCTTTATCATTTCTAGGTTTTAAACCAAAGTAATTATGAAACTGTGCATTATTTTTTTTCTCAACCAAAAACCAGTTGAGCACCAGCAACAGCCCCGTTTCTGAAAGGAAATTAAATTTCTTCCTATCAGCTAATATGTCAAAGAGATTGTTCAGTAACTCCTATCAGTAACATCCAGGTGCTGATTCATAAACAAATTAACTTTTGACTCAACTTTTTGCAGGTATAGATATAAACAGCGCCCCCCTGTGGTACAACTCGAAATCAAATGTGTTTTAAAAAGAACCTCTAATAGAAGCAAGTGGTTCCATTTCGATGGATACAGGAACCTTTCTAACCTTTTTCACACTATTAGTAGGCAGTTGGTTAGTTTTTATGTTGAAAAAATATAACCTTTGAAAAAGCATTTCTTCAACCTCAAATCATCATGTTTATATTTTTTTATTTAATTCTTTAAAACACACTAACTTGTATTTAACTTATTTTGTGTTCATTTACATCATTTTAAACAGTAAATCAGATGTTATGATCACCATTGAATCATATTTTTACCAAATAATTTCTTATTCTAACTTAAGTAACTCTTGGAGGTGGTACTTAACTTTACTTGAGTAAAACTTGTTACTTCAAGGCTAGACTATTGTAAATCTTTACTATCGGGAAGTAAGTCCACAAACTGTAGTTAAAAGCCTTCAGCTGATCCAAAATGCTGCAGTCAGAGTTCTGATGAAAATTAAAAAGAAAGATCATATCTCTTCTATCCTAGCTTCTCTTCATTGTCTTCCTGTTAAAAACCAGAATACGTTTTAAAATCCTCCTTCTCACATATTAAGCCTTAAATGGCCAAGCTCCATCTTATATCAGAGATATGATTGTTCCTTATGTTCCTAAAAGAGCACTTTGCTCTCAGGTCTCCGCAGGTTTACTATTGGTTGCTAGAATTTCTAAAGTAGAATGGGAGGCAGATCTTTTAGTTATCAGGCTCCTCTCCTGTGGAACCAACTACCAGTTTTAGTCCATGAGGCAGACACCCTGTCTACGTTTAAGAGTAGGCTTAAAACTTTCTTTTTTGATAAAGCTTATAGTTAAAGTGGCTCAGGTTAACCTGAGATATCTCTATAGTTATTCTGCTATAGGCTTAGACTGCTGGAGGACATAGGGACCCCTATTTCATCATTCTGCTTCATTCTATCTCTATGCTCCCACTCCTCAGAATTTGTTAGTTCAATCTCAAACGTCATGCTCTCTTCACTTATTGTTCACTTACAGCTTAAAGTTTTACAACCTAGCATACTGAGCAGGAAATGTCTTCATGTTTCTTATGTAAAAATCTGCCCACAACCTTCAGAGGTAGCATGCATGTAGAAACACAGCAGGCCTCTTAAATTCGCCACACTTACTGAACTGAAACTAAGCCTTGTTTATTTTTTCTAATGTTATGTTTGAATGTATGTCCAAAGAATAATGTATGAATTTGGTACTCTGGAGTATAAATAGGTAATCATCCAGAGGCCCACTGTTGGAAATATGTTTTCTTTCCTTACATCAAAAATAAACCTGTAGAGTTTGCTAAAGCTTCTGTCACTTAAGCTCTGCGCTTTGGTTCAACACTTTAAGTTAACAGACACTGCTGACTGGTCTGATGTGAATCAGAGGACCAATTTGTAGAAAATTAGAGGTGGTGGAGGCTCTGTAATGCTGCGGGCCTAATTCACTTTGAAAGGCTGTGGGAATCTATGAGGAACTCTCCTTAGTCCAAAACAACTTAGATTAAAAGTAAGGAGAATTTGATCCAAGTTTTCTTTTTTGTGGAAAATATGTTTAAACTATATATAAACTCATATTCATCTACAGGACCTTTTATGTAAATATCTTAATCCTGTGAAGATTGCTAAATCAAGCTTTTTTTCTGGTCTGGTCTCTGGTCTTCTCTAACTGTTCTATTTAAGGCTTCTACTGAACTTTCTGAGGAATTTCTACAGTTTTGAGTTGGAGAACTTCTCCCAATAGAATAACTAGTGATAAAGGTCTCTTCATGTCAGTTAGGGATTGTCTAACTATTATGTCCTGCTGCTTTTAAGCCTGTTTATGAATACATTTTAACAGACATTGTCAAATGTTTGAATCCAACAAACTGTTTTTGAAAAAAAAAGTTTCAATTCGTTGGGTTATTTGTTTTGTTGTTGATAAAGACTTAATTCCAGATGTGTCCCAGTTGCTTTTAAACATGCTTTGATTCAGTTATTATTAAGACCAAACATTAAAACCGTTCTGAAGCTTCAGACTTATTTCCCAGCTGCCGTCTCTTTCCAAGGCTCTCAAAAAAACAAAAAAAACTCTTTCCAGATTCAAAATGTTTTAAGATACAACGGTCTTTATGAAAAATTTAAATCTGTGTCAAAGAACGGTCTATCTCTGGACTCTGAGATTTTAAAAGACCTCATTATATAATGCTTTATATGCTACATTTGATCCTGCTGGTCATAGTTATCTTTCATCCAGGCTTTAGCATGGTGTTAAGTATTAAATAAACAGCTCTAGAGTGTTTCAAGTCTTACTTAATGAATATTAGCTTTGTTCAGATGCTTATTCCTCAATGGCAGTACTTTTTACTTGATGCATTCCTCAGGGATCCATCCCAGGACCAGTCTTGTTTTTCTTACATATATTGTCCAAAAGAGCCTATTTTAAGGAAATATAACATACATTGTTCAGCTGCTTTGCTGAAGATATTCAATTTTAGCTACCAATCTATAAAAATATATATATCTTTAGAGCTGTTTTTGGCAGTCTTGCTTATCCAAAAGCCTGGATTAGGAGAACAGATGTTTCCAATGACATTCTTGAGCTTTTTTTATATATTTTTTTAAATCATTCATTAACTCTTCTGTCAGATATAGTGGTGTATTATTTGAAAGCTAATTTAAAATCACAAAGCAAACCAGATAAGTTGTCAAGATTAGATTTTTTTTATGACAACTACTTGCTAAAGTGAAGCATTGGTTAATTTTTTAGGATAATAAAAACCTGAGCCATGCTTTATTTCATGAATTAGTGTAAACTAAGATCTTTTTTTATGATTGTGTAACATCCTGTTGCTTATCCTCTAATATGAATGACAAAACAGGAACATATTACTCCACTTTTGGCTTCTTTCCATTTGCTTCTTCTTCGTTTGAGAAGTTTTTAATTGCAACTATTTTATTGGGTTTTAACTGTATCATCCCCTTACATTCAAAAGATCAAATACAGCAACATGTAACCACAAGAACATGAATATCAATCAAGCATTTCCTCTTAGGTTTCAAATCAAGTAGATAGATGTCATTGTGATCTCCCTGTTAAAGCCCCAACATTCCCAAATATTCCACTGATCCATAGAGATGCTCAGAATCTTAAGATCTATAAGTGCTTTTAAAGACTCACCTTTACTCTCTTGCTTTTGAATTAAATCAATGTATATCTCAAATATATATTTTGTATTTGTTAGTTAATCATTTTGCTAATTAATTATTTTAGTCACACCCTTGTTGTGTTCCCTTTTTAAAAGCTATAACTTTAAATAATAGCAGTCTTGCTGTGTAGCATGTTGGTACAACTTGTCACGGAGTGCTGGTGTTAGACCATATTCTGTGATGAATCATATTTTGTGACCCAAGGGTGTGATATTTATACTTCACCATAGGCTTCTTTAATGCTTATGTATTAGTCGACAGTGGCGTCGGATGTAGGAGTATGCCCTGAAATCGAAGGATTGACGACTTTCAGTGTCGTTGTGTCCTTGGGCAAGACACTTCACCTGCATTGTTTACTGATGGTGGTGCCAGCGTACGGCAGGCCCGCTTCTGTCAGTGAGCCCCAGGGCAGCTGTGGCTACAATGTAGCTTGTCACCATCAGTGTGTGAGTGTGTGCATGAATGACTGAATGTAGTGTAAAGCATTTTGGTCAACTCTACTGACTTGAAAAAAATATAATATATAAGTACAGGCCATTTAGTCCTATGTGTTTAGGTTTAGGTAATAATCCTGTGAGGTTAGGGTTAGTAGAAAGCAGACTGGTGAGGAGACTGTGCCACAGCAGGCAGCTTGAGTCAAAACATAATATATATAGAGAATATGATGGGTCACAGATTTTGTTGCAACACAGAAAGAAATTTAAAGGGTTAATTCACATCTAGATGAATATTTCCTTTTCTAAGTGGGCCACTAACTTTTTTTTTCTTTTTTTTTTTTTATATTTCACTTATTTCATTTTTTTTCAATAACTAAAATAAGCCTCCCCCCCCATTGTACTGCAAAAAGAGATATAAAAATAAGTTTTTTTTTTAATTAAATAAATGTATCCCCTCTTTATTTAATTCAGTAAATAAAATACACTGTCAATTGAATTAACATTTTTATGAGATAAATAGATATTATGCACTTGAAATAAAAGACTGCAGTTATTTGTGCTTATTTTAAATGCAATTGTCTTATTCCACTGGCAAAGTGTCTCGCTTACCTGCTCTATTCTGGAAAAAAAATCCAATAATTTTAAGAAATATTGACTTACTTCAATTTTTTACAGCGTACCTGTGCCTGTAAGACATTACTCAGGGTATTTTGACCCTCTCCCACTTCCTGGTTTTAATAGCTTGTTCCGTTTTCTGCTGTTGCTGTTCTTCGTATGGTTCTTCGACCGAATCAGAAACTTCTGCTCGCTCTCACACAAAAGTTTGCATCAATTACAGGTTTTATAAATTTACTTTCTTTCCATCGAAAGGGGAAACAGATTTACGCGGTCGTGGTACGTTCACGGGTCTCTTTTCTAGGTAGGAAAACTGAATACCCTCAAGCAGGAATCCATATGGTCTGCTCTGAATGATTTGTTATATTTTGATGTTCCTCAGAGGTGGACAGAATGGACAAAGCTGAAGTGTTGGCTCGCATCCTGCAGTCAGAGGACACCTCAACGGTTCTTGGTGGACAATGTCCTGCCAGCGTCATTAAAAGCCGGAAGTGTGTCCCTGTCACCGCTAAAGCTCAGGGTGGTGAGCTGGGCTTCCTAGATGAGGCCATCCGGACTGCCCTGACTGGTCAAACCAGAAATGTTGTATTGGTTGGTTCTGAAGGAGTGGGGAAAACCACAGCTCTGCACAAACTTGTTGCAGACTGGGCTAAAGGAGACTGCCTTCAAAACTTTGCACATGTTTTTCATTTCCAGTTCAGACGCATGGGGTCTATAGCAGATGAGCTCTGTTTGGAAACTTTAATCCAAAAAAGCCTCCATCAAATCCCAGCAGAGTCTGCTGGTTTGGTTACAGAGAAGCCTGATGCTGTGTTGTTTGTTTTGGATGGTCTGGATGAGCACAAGCACAGCCTGGACCCCTCGGCCCACAGCCTGACCTCTGACCCCACACAGCCGGTGTCCGTGTCCTGTCTGTTGGCCAGTCTGCTCCACGGATCCCTGTTGAAGGGAGCCGCCTTTCTGGTGGCAAGCAGGCCCACGGCTAACCTGAAGTTCCTCAAAGGGACTCAGGTGGAGGTGTTGGGCTTTCAGAAGCCCCAGAGAGAGCTCTACTTCAACACCTTCTTTACTGAACCCGCTGCAGCCAACAGAGCATTGGAGCACATGGAAACAACTCTGGGCTTTTATGATTTCTGTGCTTCCCCCAGGTTTTGCTGGACAGTCTGCTCTATTTACAAGTGCCTCATTTATTCAGCTGCCAAACTTCCCGAAACATTATCTCAGCTGTTTATAGATATCCTGGTGCACCTGATTCAGAGTCTTTCCCTTACCAAGGCCTGCAGTAGAGGGTTATTGTTAGCCCTCGGTAAAATGGCCTCTCACTGCCTCCATGACCCACATGCATGCTGTTCTAAAGACATTCTTGATTCCTGTGGGTTTCAGCAGCAGCTTACCGCCTTGGGAAGTTTCTTAAAAGTGCATGATGAAAAGGAGTTCTCCTTCCACTCCCAACTGATGCAGGAGTTTGTCTTGGCTGTGGCTTTCTTTCTCGATGCGTCAACCTATGAAGACGTAGAGAAAATGCTGGGAAATCACAAAGGTTGTACAAAGTTACTAGATTTCTTTATGTCAGGGCTCTCTGAGCCTGTCCAGTACAGATCGCTGGAGGAGTTGCTGGGGATATTCAGCAGTGATCAAATTAAAGGTTTTAAAAGCTGGTTTAAAAGCAGCTCAGAGAAAAAACTGAAGGATTACAACAAATCTGAGCACTACAGATGTTTCCATTTACTGCATCAGGTGCAAAATGAGAGCCTGGTAAAGGAGATCCTCACCCCTCCCGCACACCCGTGCATCTTTCACGAAAACCTGAGCCTCGCCGACTGTGCAGCTCTGAATTACGTCATCACATGTCTGGGAGAAAGGGAAAAATTAAGTTTGTCCAGAACTACAATATCAAAAGAGATTATGGAGGTGTTGCTTCCATCTGTGAGGCTGTCGCACACTGTGATGTAAGGAACGTGTTTTTGAAAATTCCTTGTAAAAGCCTGGTGTATTCAGGATCTTATTAAATGCAATGCTTTCTCCTCCAGATTGTCAAACTGCTCCATCCATATAGAATCCATCCCTCTACTGGCTTCAGCTGTCTGCATGGGAGCCACCAGGGAGCTGGTTCTCTCTCACTCCAACCTCAGAGATGAAAAGGCTCAAGTCCTCTTTACAGGACTAAGACGAGCCAAACTGCACAGACTAAAGTAAGACTAAATCCTTTTTTAAATGACTTCTGTTTATGGGGTTTTAAGAAGTTTTTACCCGCTAACAAATTTTACAGATGTTTTTGGGAACATTTCTTCAAACAGATACTCTAAATAAAAAAAATAAAAAAACATCTTAATCCTGTGTGATTGAGCAGATGTTTTAGAAAGCTAGGGTCAAACTGACTTTTTTACCTGATTACTAACAGACCTGCAGAATTATTGAAAAGAAAATTCATTATTCTTGTTATTGTTACAAATCCAACGCTGAGGAATCAAAACCACTGCAGGCTCCATTTGCCTCCAAGAAGATTAGTATTCTCTGATATTTTTAAAAAGAAAATATCGGCACTGATTTTGTTTTTTGTATAATCACACTGATCCAGAACAACGTGGTATTCTGGATGATATAGGTACTGAAGAGGAAAGGCTTCAGCCTCTCAATCTCTCATAGCCAAACTAAGCAAAGCAGGTAGTAGGGCTGGCCTATTTAAATGTTAAAGATTAGGTTTAAACAGGGTTACTGTAAAAAAAAAAATAAAAAATTTCAAATAAGTAAAAAAAAATACAGATTTATAATTATCAATATCAACTAAATTGAAGAATCAATTTTTTAGACATATTGCGCAGCTGTAATTGGAGGGGGCCTGCACTGAATATGTCAAACCCATCTTAGACTGTCATCAGCATTTTGGAAAAGGAAAATAAATCGTACATTAGTCAAACAAGGTGGTGGCAGTGTGATGGTCTGGGATAGTTGTTCTTGATCTGTGTATCTGGGTTATCGTTATTTGAGCTGCTGTGACCCTTTACAGGCTGTTCATTCAATCCACCCACACTGGTTGGATTGGACGGGTTGTTTTAAATAGAACGAGGGTGAAGATTCCTTCACAGTGATGTAAAAGAGTTAACTGCTAGTTATGAACACACCTGATGGCAGCTTTTATTGAGTGGTAGATCCAGTTCGTAGCTTAACGAGGCAACCGTTTTTTTGTTTTTTTTTAAAGGCCAGGTTGCTTTGGAAAGATTTTCTCTGTAATTATTAGAAACATTTTAAAAATAGCTTGTATTTACTCAGGTTATTGCAGATACTGAAATTTGATTGATTTGAAAATGTTTAAGTGCGACTAAAAATTAAAAAGGAATAGAAAAAATATATATATGTATGTATGTTTCACCATAATCTGAGTTGTTGATCTCTCCAATCTGAAGCCTTAATGTCTGTGAACTGACTGCGTCCTGCTGTGGTGACCTGGTGTCTATGCTGACTTCAGAAACCTCCCAGCTCCAGATTTTAGAGCTGATGTTTAATCCGATCTCCGACCAGGGCTTCATGACACTGTGTGAAGCAATGCATAGTCCAAACTGCAGACTGCAGGAGCTCCAGTGAGTACTGAATCTGGCTTCATTGCAAATAGCCATAGTCTGATCACCTACTTGATTTTGTAACATTTTCTGAATCTTATAAAACAGGCTTGGAAATTGTGACTTGACTGAAGCATCCATGGAGGCTTTCGCAGCTGCTTTGTGTTCTGGTGAATCCCGACTGAGAAAAATCGACTTAAAGGATAACGAGATTGGTGACAGAGGAGTTGAAGCTCTTTGCAAAGCCCTGCAGCAGCCAAATGGTAAACTGCAGAGCCTCGGGTACGTCAGTTTCAACATTTGAAAACCCCAATCGGCTCCTTTACTTTTTGTTACCCGAGGTGGTTAGATTTCATAAAAGCTTCTTTGTTCCAGGTTGTTCGATACCTGTTTAACAGGGGTGTGCTGCTCCCATCTGATGAAGGTCCTCATGTCTGAACACTGCTCTCTGTCAGAGCTTGATCTGTCATTGAACGATTTGGGACAGGAGGGGGCGCTGCTGCTTTGCCAAGGCGTAAACAGACCCAACTGCCCCATAGAAATCCTTGGGTAAAGTCCTCTGCTATGTTATTTTACACTCCATCAGTCTTAGTTCTTACATTTTTAGACGCAGATGAAAGCAAACGTTCCTTAAGCAGCCCTGCTCTGCACTCTCACTGTCTCTACAGCTTGACGCGGTGCAAGTTAACCCAAACGGTCTTCCAGGAACTGGGATCGGTGCTTAAAAATGGAACATGCCAAATCAAATCTCTGCTTCTAGCCATCAATAAGGTGGGAGACCAGGGGGTTAAATATATTCTGGAGGCTGTTGCTCATCCAAGCTGCTTGCTGGAGGAGCTGAGGTGAGTTTATGACCAGGAATCGGAATCCTTTTTTAAAAAAAACCTTTTTCACTTTGTGAATCTGTTTGCTTCCTGTCTAACATAGTTTGGAGATGACTACTTTGACGGATGCCTGCGTAGAAGACCTGTGTGCTGCTCTCAGAGCCAATAATACCCTGAAGCTCCTAGAGCTGAGAAACAACTCTCTCACCGACGCTGCCGCCCCTCCCATCGTCCAAGTTATGAAGGAAAAACACAACATGAAGGAATTAAAGTAAGCCTAATTCTCTTTAGTCAGAACCTATAAGCACATTTTGTTCTCAGCAATCTAACTGCTGCTTTGATTTCATTTCAATTCAGCCTGAAGTATAACGACTTCAGTGAAGATGCTCTTTTAATTCTGGATGAATGCCCCAACATAAGATATTGAGGAGGTAAATGCCATCAAGTCCAATTCCACCTGAAAACCTCAAGTCAGGCTAAGAAACATCTCTTAAGTTCAGAACAATTTGTCCTCTTAAATATTTTTCTTTTCTTTTTTTTTTAGATCACTTTTCAAGGATTCAGGAAAACGACCAAACTGAGAAAAAAGCAGCAGCTTTTTCAAATGTAAAAAGAAATTGCCCCCTAAACATAATAACTGGCTGCCCATCTCTTGGCATCAACGACTTTCATTAATCATTTCCAGTATTTGGCAATGATCCTATGGCTGGGGGAGGGATGTGTCCCGCTCTGGTCAGTTTGACACCAGATGTAAAATATTCACACTTTCTAAAATCGTATTATTCCACAGAATATATTCCCAAAGCTCACATTTTTATAGAAAATTTGAACTCGTGTTAATATTTCTAGTAAAGGGAATTAACCTCAAGTAGCTAACATATGTCTCTCAGTATATAGGAAGGTAACTTTTGTAAAAGGGCAGTGACTGCTACTTAAAGTGTAAAATACAGGTCTTTGAGATGTTCTGTTCAGTTCTAGAAACCTAAATCCATTAAACAATCTTCAGGCTGCTCTGAAATGTAGAGAGCTTGATACAGGGCTCTGTGTGACTTTCAGAAAATATTGTAAAAGACTCCCTTTGAGTATTAAAAAATATTCCTTCACCAATTATCTTTAGATTGAAAGTTGGGGTTTTCTAAATGTCCATGTAGGAGAATGTGTCACTGCAGTAAAAGATCCGTCTGTTTTGTTTTTGTTTCTACACATCCCACCAGAGACAACAATGGTGGCCGAGCAAATGTCTAGATCTAGTTCAGGGGTCTACAACCTGTGGCGCTTTAGACATTGTACAATGGCTCTTCGTTACCTCGGCTAAAAACGATAGAGAACACACTAATCTTTTAAAATATATACTAACAAAAGTAGGTTTTTCCATTTTCTCAGTTGCCTAATTGCATTGAACCTCCAAAATAACTGGACCGCAAATATGATAAATATTGACTTAACGCATTTTTCACAAATTCTAGTAACCCATTAAACATGCATTTGTCTTTTTGCATATTTTTTTCTTCATTTTAAAACCTTAAATGAGCAAGATATTAAACATAAGTTAATTTTTGTTTTTAACAGTCATGTTTGCAAGTTTTGTGAACAGTACTGAAATCCTAAATGACTCTTTACATTATAAAGGTTGCAGAACCCTGATCTTATTAATGTTGTTTAAGATGCACATCATTTATTGAACAATCTTTGAGCTGTTCTGGATGCCATGGAACATAGAAGCCAACTAGAGGGGGAGGACGCTCAGTTCAGAATAGCTATGCTTTAATAGATCCAAGATTTGCTCACCTAAGCAGGACCTGTGTAATGTGCCTTATAGTATATTATAAATAAAAATTTACCAACAGGATATGTGTGGTTTCATGTAGCAACAAAACAGAAAATGATCTGAGAAAGTCGCCTTGGAAATTAAGGCAACTTAGTCAATGAGGCTCTGATAGCTTAAACGCTAAAGGTGTTGAAAGATAAAAGTTGGCATATCAGAATCACTGGATTTATTGCATTTTTTTGTTTCAAATTGAGAAACCTTTGGGATGTTTGAAATCAAAAGCACACAAGCATATTTAACTATAATACAACAAATACGATGGAAGCAGTGATTTGTTTCACAGCAATCAAATACATAAACCATTGTCGATAAGAAAATCTATTTACATGCATAAAGCATTGTAAGCAGTTCTTCAGTTGCTGAAATTCTCATGTGTTTGTGTACTTTGTGAGAAAAACAGCAGATGTAAACATTTCAGGGTCCCAAGGCCGTGCACCAACCATTGAGTTTAACATCTTTGCATCATCTTTGGAAAAATAAATCGAGGTTCACTGTGATAAGGCACAGAGTCGGTCTCACATGAAGTAAAGGACAGCATTTGGAATAAAGGATCTTCTCTCAGTGGTCATGAGTTTCTCCGTTAAGAACACCGGTATGGCTGCTGTCCTTCAGTTTGGAGGGTGGACAACAGTTTTTACTGCCGTTGGAGGAAATGTCCTCGTCCGTGCTGCTCTCTATGTCGCTGCGATCGTCTTTTGATACCTGAAGAACACAGAAATGTTTATAATTTTTGCAAAAAACTTCACATCTGTTTATCTTTTGTTCATCTGAAGGACATATTTCTTATTTGTAATTTTAGTCAGGAAGAGCTATGGTCATATAAGACCTACATGTAAAGTACAACATGTGGCATCGCTTTACAAAATGCTAAATAAAACACTACAGGAACGTTTTTTCTTTACGAAACTTTTTTTGGAACGTCATTGAACAGCGCTGACGACCCGGTGAGTAGCATATTTTAAAAAAAGAACGTTTAAGGTTGTTTTAAGGACATTATCGGACATGCACAATGGAAGCCATTCTGAAGCAGCCAGGGGGGGATTCTGCATGAGCCAAAAAGCAGAGACAGGACCAATTGTCAAAATGTTGGTGTCGATCATTCGATTTCATCCTGGACACTACAGAAAATGGGCTAAAAGTGTTAAAAACCGGAATTCTCCTTTAAGACTTTTTAATGCCACTAGAAATAAAAATTTAAGACCAAATTCACAAGAAACACAAGAAAAACCTGCTTGCGACAACTTTACCCAAAGGTTTATTTTAACATAAACCACTGCACCAATGTTTCAAATTTTGAAAAGCTTTCCATACAGGAAGAAAGCTAAAAACACACAAATGACAGATTTTAACAATTATTTACCTGAATTCACAAACTTTGTTTTAGCAGGGAACGAAAATCAGTTTTAAAGCCACAACATAACCAGTGCAGTCTTTTTTGCAGCCATTTTTCTTTGTATCATTTTCTTAATATGTTTGATTTGGTGATAAGTGGAGGTGTTGCAGAGACAAGGCTGGAACAAAACTGAGAAATACCAGTAATTCTCTGTAAGTCGATTTTGACAATTTGTGTTTCGCGCTTCGCATGCGACTCCACTGCCTTAATTCCCATCGTTCCGAGCTTTAATCGCTTCTTGCACAAAATACACTGTGCCTCATGCATGTTCCCTGGTTTTAGCCATGGAGAAACTCTTGGCTGGAGCCAATTTTCATTACATTTACACTTGCTCATATTTTCCAAACAAAAAGTTAATGGCGCATCTCCCAAATGTCCCGGCCGCAACAAAGCTTTTATTGGTTCCGCTATCGGGAAGGAACCAATAATGGCGAGTCGTTATTTTTTTTAAATAAAAAAAAAATTTGTAAATTTTAATGTTTTATTTAGATTACAAAAATAAATCGTAATAAAAATAATCCCATGTATGATGTTTTAAAAATTAAGACCTACGAAAGACTGATTTAAGACATTTTAATACCAATTAAAGCCTTAGTTTTATTTTGAAGAATTCAACGCCTTTTAAGACTTTTTAAGGACCTGCGGGAACCCTGTTCATAGCATCTGTAGATTACTGTCATTTAATGTAAAAAAATAGAAAAATGTCACATCAGTATAAAGTCTATGAAGTCTATAAATCATGTACTATAACCTATACAATCCATCACAACAAAATTTGTGTGATGGAGTACGAAGAGTGCGGCAGGTGACTTCAGTTTTTTCCGGCCTATTAGCAATCCAGTGAATAAACAGAGATCAGTGGGCTTTGCCCTAAATTGTCCCCATCGCCCTATAAGGCAGGAGCATCAGGATGCGGGGGTTCAGAAGGAGGATGGAGATGTAAAATAAAACATTTTGAAAAAGAGCATGAAAACATTTCCAGTTCTCTGCAGCAGCTGTGTGAAGCTGTAAACATACCTTTCCCTTGAAGATAGCTTTGACAGCAATGCGGGTGATGGTGTAGAACCAGATGATGTGAAGAACCTGCAGGACCAGCAGAAGCCCGTTCAACAGCCACCAGGCCCGATACGGCCCAATAATCTCCCAGCTCTCAAACAGCACGCTGTGAACAATCCTACAAGGAAAGCACACCAACAATTTAGGAAATGCATTTATTTTATCTTCTGTAGTTCCTGGATAAACTCTCACCAGAAAGGATAGATGACGAGCCGTGCGATGAAAAAGCTAATGCTGAACACCACAAACATGGTGTCACATAGCCTCTGGTATTTGGCATAGTTGGCCAACTTGGCTGCCTTTGAGAAATAAGACAAACAATGCAAAGCCCTCAGAAATAATCAAACCAATTCTTCTTTAAGTTAATGGCTAACTTGCATTTCAGTGGATGATGCCTTTATTTACCTCGAGGAAGATGTCTGACGCATCGTGCACACACATGACCAAAGTACCAGCTCTGAGCATGTTGTTGCCATAGGAGATTGTGATGAGGAATATGGTGGCCAGGTGGTGGACAAGCATGATCATGAAATCCTGACATCGACACAAAGAGACAAAAGAATAAAGAGATATTTACTTCTGAACAATGGTAAAACTGTACATAGTAATACGACAGGTGAAGTTATGACGCTGTATAGATTTTATAGAGCACAGAATTCAATAACCAATATGGGAAATAAACCATTTGGAATAATAAAAGCCCATTATTCAAATTAGTTATTGTGGTTAACTTTAATTGATCATGTCCTGCAATAGTTTTTCCAGCAGACTGTAGAGCAGTGTGTTGTCTAGAAGGCGTACAGTGTTTTCTAAGCCTGACACAATAAATCACATTAATCCTGCCTTATCTATTAGTTTTGATAGTCAAAATCAGATTGTTACCCAGAGCAACCTTTATCAAACCGGCTCCTCCGGCAGCACCGCCCTGCATGTTTTGGATGTCTCTCTGTTGCAGCACACCCCATTCAAATCATGGCATGACATCTTCAGCAACCATCAAGTGCTGCAGAAGCCTGTTAATCATTCTTTTATACGAGTCAGATGTGGGGCAGCGAGGCGCTGTCAAACAATGGAGGGCATGAAGACCAGGATTTATACTCACTGACCTGGAGTATTGGTACACACACTGTAAAATATGCTGTTTTCTTTTAGCAAAACTCAGACTTTAGAGTCTGTGTCAGATGTAACATAATCTACTTATAGCAGTAATCAAGACATAATAGATAGAAATATTAGCCTAATAAACAAAGAATAGTTACAATTTTCCCATTAAAGAGGAAATTGTTTATTCATATTTTGTATAACCAAGTGTATTTTAAAGGTTTTTTTTTTGCAAAAAAATTTGTAACCAATTATTTTTCTTTAATCCACATATTTTTGTATTTACCAAAAATGCATAATAGATAAATTAATAGATTAGAGATTAGATTAATATATAATGTAGGAGTACAAACCACCTTTAAGCTTTGACTTTACGTCATCTTAAAAGTTTTCAACTTTTAATAATTGGAAAATACCAATATGACGGTATTACAATGCTAACAGATGGTAAAACACAACATCAAATTATTTTATATGCAGGTGAACTTGCAGCTGCTGATTCTGATCGTTTACTTTATCCAAATAAACATGGAAATCATATAAATACCCTAAATATTAAAGGATTTTGTACCTTATGGTATACATTTTTTTCTGAATGTCTTTTTTTAAAGACTTCCTTAAAAACAGCACCATTTCTAGGAATGTTTCGTAACAAAAAGGATCCAACATGTTAGTAAACCACGTGGCCATGTGCAGACGCAAGTTACTGAAATATACAAAGAAAGCAGAAGGTGTGTGACTAACCATGGTGTTATTATAGTTGTGTACTGGTTATCTACACTGAAATAAAACAATTGATTTCCATTAATTGAACCCTCTACTCTGAAAACACCCTCATTAAAGTCCAACCCAGCCAATGACCCTTTGCAAGAGGTTACAAAGTAGTTTGAAAGTAAAGGCTTTGTTCTTTATTGCATCACTCAAACAAATATAAAAATATTTAGGACTGCACAGACAATTTTAACTGTGTACTTTGGTCCAGTAAGATTAAGCATTCAGTAAAAAAAGAAAACACCCAAAGTTGAGTTGGTTTAAGTAAAGGATCAATACGATAAAACTCGTCTCATTCCATCTGTATGGGGGAGGTCCTGTGGTGCTGTGGGACGGTTTTTCTTATGAAAGCCCTGATAAAGGCTTTTTTCTTCCTTTATACTGATTGCAAAAATGACATATTTTTTTTATCTGTGTGTGCAGTTTAAGATCTTATTTTTTTTACTGAAAAGTATTCCATAAAATTAAGCAATTTAGCCGAGTTAAATAGGTTATATTTAATCTAATGTGCTATCTGTATGTTATACATTGTTTTGGTTTTTTTTCCGTTTTAACCCACTACACTTGCATGCTGAAGCATGTGATGCCTTGACACCAATACAAAGAGCATAACAAGACAGCAAAGAATACAAAAACTAAAACATGACATCTAGGAAAAATGCCTTTAGGCACAAAATGATTTATGGGGCAAGTCCAATAGAGCTGGTTGTTGACTCACCTTTCGTTTAATATCTGTGAACTGGGACACCATCAGAGACCAATAGAAAGCCAGCTCGGCAACATAGTAGTTGTATTGTCCTGGACTTAAAGGCTTTAGTGGGGAATAGAGAAAACAAAGCTTTGATAAATATGCATGCATATTAAACTTTGAATAACATGGAGCTGGACTGATCAGAGTAACTCTGTGAAAATAGCTAATTGTTCAAATTAAACTGCCGACCTGAAAAGGGTAGTTGTACCAACAGTGTCTAGTATCCCACATCCAAGGTGACTAAAAGAGACAAAACAAATATGAGACCAGTTAAACATTAAAGAAGAAACAAACACACTGCATGATAATACATGCAAACATTGCTTAAGGAGATTAAATTAGGATATAACTGTTGGTAATTATTATCAATTTATTACTAAAACATACTGTAATAAAAATAGACTCCAAGACTATTTGTACAGGAGGGTTTTCAGTCCCATCGCAGTAAAACTACAAATGATATTACTTTGATTGGGACTTTATTAGATAAACACCAGTCAAAACAAAACTAGACGTGTTTTTTATTTTATTTTCCAGATTAAATAAATGTATATGCGTCATGCCTTTGTATTCATCTCCAAGGAAATACTGTCTAGACCCACATATCCCTGCAAATCACAGCAGCAACTCTTCACTTTAATTATCTTTGCAAAGCTAGAAACTAAAAATGTTCCCCAGGCCTCCTTAAAGTTTATTCAAACTCTATGGAAAGTATTTTTGCAAATTAGTTTAAATCCTGCCAGACATCCCCATTTGGATTTGAGTTCTATTATTCTATTCAACAAAGACATTTAGCTTCAACCTTTGCAGTGCAGATCTGGCCGAGTCAGAGTTGTTAGCTAGTTTTACTGTCCTGTTGAAAGTGGAGCTTCAGCATGATTGACAAGTCTTTTGCAGTCTATAGTAGATTTTCTCAGTACTGCCTTGTATTCAGCTCCATGCAGCTGATCTTGCCCTGCTGAAAGAAGCCACCACAGTGCTTCAAAGGATGACATCCAGTGTTAGCTTTCCATATAGCCTGTTGCTATTTTCCCTGACCAGAGCACCTTTATCTTCATATTTACCGTGTTCATCACAAGACTTGTAGCAAAGACTGCAATGGCTGGCTTTGTACAAGATACAGTATACAGAGTGCATGACTAAAGGTCATTGGAGACTCAGACTCTGCCAGAACCAAGAAACATGTTCTCTTTCTCAAAGCAGGGAGAGGAAGAATGTGATTCTTTGCTTTTAGTGTTGGCTCGGAGGTCGTTTTAACTTCTCAGCTTTGTTGTGTCCAGCAACTATTTTGCCACTCAGCCACCCACGGACTTTAACCATGCTTAAAGGAGGAATTGTCCTGTCCTGCATATTTCTTCTGTCTCTCCTTGCCAGCACCTCTGTACTTTGGTTTCTTGTAAAGTACAAAATGTTTGGGACCGAACCAACTTTGTTCTCGCTGCTGCTACCTCCAGTAAAACACGTTCCACGGTTCCCGTGGAATACGTACACCTCTTAAAGGCTTCTCTCAGGAATTAGCCGTTAAAAATAAGGCTTCACAGTGGCACTTGCCTTTTAGCAGGAAGTTCCTTGGTTTGAATCTGGGGTTAAATACTAGAGATAAGCAAAAGCCCCCCATGGATAAGTGGGTATAAATAACTGATAGATTTATGGAAACCAATTCTTATTTTGCATCCTCTTCAGCAGTTTTTCCTCTCCACCGTCGCTACATGCATGCTTAGTGTGAGGGGTTGCCTTCTAGTCAATGAGTCGATGCAATCACCTGGTTTTGCTTAGATAGAAAACTTTGAATCAATTTGACTGTGTGATCTGATTGAATTGTAAATTGCCTTGAGATGACATTGTGTGAATTGGCGCTATATAAATAAACTGAATTTTATTTTTACTAATTAGCGTTGGTGTCTTACATATAATCCAAATAAAATATAACAGTATTTATGGTAGTAACATGGTTAAATGTGAAAAGGTTCCAAATTGTATTAATACTTTTGCAAGAATCTGCCTGATTTCAACTTACCGTCCACAAATGGCTAATGGCATAGATAAAAATCACCAGGTAAAAGGTGAATCTCCACCTGTAATTAGGGGGAAAAGAAAGAAAAAACAACTGGTTTGAGAAAATATCTACAATCTTAAAAGAAGATAGACATCTATGTTGTTAACTCTGCATTCCTTTTTGAGACATACATGCTTTCACAAAACTTCTTCTGCATGCTGGGCCTGTCCTGGTTCCGGCGGACACGAAACCATCTCTGAATTTTCCGTTCCTCCCAGTCCAGCTGCTTGGAGAGTCCCTCCATTTGTCTCGCATCTGGGCACTAGTGGGGACAATTGAGCAGTGGCTTGACTTTACTTCAAAAGTTGCTGCTTGTAAAACCACAAAGGTATTTCATACAACAAGAGGTGCTTACTGAACATATAATTATGCCTGCGATGGTATGCACCACTGCAACAACACTGTGCTGCTAAGTGTACAGAAGCAACAGAACAAACACAACCCCTATGTACCGTGTTGGACTGATAGAGCCTCTCCAGGACGGCGTTAGGCTGAGCTCGTCGGGGCACTCCTGCCTGAATCTGAAGTATGTGGGCACAGGGTTTGGCCACTAGCCTGTGTACACACAGACAGAGGGGCAAAAACCAGAGGGTGGACACACACACGTTATGTATTAAAGAGACATTCAGCCACAGAGACATTTAAAGTCACAGTAATTTAGCAGTACAGTTCCCCCATAATAACACGTTTGACAGGAATGACTGTATCCGTCTATGACAGAAGGACAGAGAGCAGAATAAAGGCTGTTAAAAGGGAGGGACAGAGACATGTCTCAGAGCCAGGAGAATGTTGCACATAGTCTAAACAGAGTGTGATGACCTGTCATGTGAGAGTATTGAGTCCGAGTTCAGGAGAGAAAAACTCTGGCCAAAATACTAAAGCGTGTCACAGGATCATCTGGTTGAGCTGGCCATTGGTATTGATGAAACACAGAAACCGTATAGAATGGCATTGTGGTAAAAACCTGCTCGTCTTGATTTGGTGGAAAATCAAGTCCTGTTGTATCTTTATGCTTCTGACATCCTCCCTGTTTGAATAATGTATGTATACTGACATCAAGGATCAGGTATTTACTATGTTCTGTTGCATGAGGACAGGGTATGTTCATGGCCACCCCAAGGCAGAAATTAGGCTTTTCCCAGGACCCCAAAACTAATGAACCGTTTGAGGATTTTTTGCATGTATAATGATTTCTATATAGATGTAACAATGAAACTTTATAATAAAATAATGCATTTTTCCCCAATATATCTTTAATTATGTAGAAATCATAACTTTCTACATAACCTTACTCTTGGAGCCAGACTGACGCACAGATGAAGAAGCATTTAGAAACAAACACATTCTCACAGACAAACTTATCTTTGGAGAACAAGCCGTTAGTGATAAGATTGCACTGGCCTTCAGTCTAGAGCACAGATGACCTCATTTACTCTCCAACTTTCCTAAAATGTGATCCGAGTTCTACCCAAATCCTCAGGACGGCCTTAACTCTACCTGTGACTATTAACTTCTCCAAACTCTGACTAATGCAGAAGTAGCTGAGATCTGTCATGGTGGAAGCATGATCGGCATGGCCTGGCAGTAACCATAAAAAAAAGGAGTCTGTCAGGTCTCTAACGCTGATAACATCAGTGACTCTTGCAAACAGAAAAGCCTGTAAGCACAGGTTTAAGAGAGAGGAGAACGGAATAACCTTAAAATTCATTTGTGAGGGTAAAGCTTATTTTTTTATATACACATTTTGCATATAGGTAAATACATTCACATAGTTTTACATTTTATTCAACAATGTACTTGGTTTCAAGAAGCTTTTAATTTCCATTATTTATTAACATAATTTTTCTTTTTCTTTAATATTTTTTGCTATTTTACGCTATTTTGTTTGATGTTGTTCTTGAATTACAGGTTATTTTTGCACATTGCTGTTATAGTTGGAACCAAAAACTATATTTAGTAACCATATGACACTCTGCCTATAAATAAACTGCATACTAGTTTATTTTTACTACTTTAAGTAACACTAGCTGATACATGGAGGCTTGGGTTTTCAACATCTGGTTTTGTTTTTCTCCTACAATTAAAAAAGACTAACTGCACATCTGGCAATGGATCCCCAAGTGGTTGTTAAGCGATTTAATTTAAAAATCATAGGGAACGGTGTCAGTATCAAGCATCTGGCATCCTGAGGTGACTGAATCGTAATAAAGTGCCTTCATTCTGTTCTTATTGGGTTGCATGAAATTAAATGTTAAAATTGGGCCATTGCTATAAGGTTTTGACATCCCCCAGGTAAATTTGGTAGCATGTGCAGTGTATATGGGGTATGAACCCTGTCACACGCCTACTGCAGAATATTCGGCACATTTAGAAAAACCATGGCAACATGGGTTGGGTGGATGTCGAATTTTGTACACTACAGTGTTGAGAGTGAAATAAAGTGATACTGGAAGGTTTTTTTTGCCTAAAGCAGTGCAATTTTTTTCATGACAGTGAAATGAAACATGATATGCTTCTGCATTGCTTCACAATCCTAATTCAAACCATACTAGTTCATACAAATTTTCCAATCAGATCCAATCCGATACAGATCCGCTGATCGTAATTCCAGTACAGAACAATTTCAGAGCACTCCAAATCTTTTATAATGTGTTACTATTGCAGCCATGTTCTGTAGCTAAACTCATCACTTCTTATCTGCAGTTTTTCTGGTTTTACATGTTTTGTGTTAGATAAAAGTAGATAAACAAGCATTTGCCTTTTTCTGCAGTTACATGAAAGCAAAACATTAAAATGTTGCCCTTCCCAGGGGCAGAGCTAGATGGGGGCCAGGGGGGGCCATGGCCACCCGTACCATTGTTTTTCGTCCATGGTGGCAGCAGTAATACTCTCAAGGGGACTGTTCAAATTTATTAAAGATTTGAATTTTTCATATATTAACTACTTGACAACTAAAAGCTGTGTTTATGCACATCAAAATACTAACATTAAAGTTGATATATACAGAAGTCATGCTCTTTTCAGAACTATATTTTTGTGCCATATGAGGTAAAGAGAGAATTGTCTCTGCAAGTCATCTAGAAGTCTTCAGGGAAATCATAGATAAATAACTACTTTAATAACTTAAAAATCCATTAAATGTAGATATTAGTAGACATAAATATGTTTTTTATACAGATAATTTTTTTTTTTAAGTATGTAAGTAATGACAATGGAGATGTTCGCCCCAGAAATTTTGTCCTCTACAACTTTAATTAGTCAGCACAGATGTTTAAATACATGTGTGGTTTTTGTTAGGAAAGGCTCTAGTAAAGTATAGTTAGTCTTTATTTACAAAATATGGATGTTGTGGTCATTCCTTTTGGAAAGTCTAGATTGACCCTGAGGTTCTGGCGCCTATTCGCTTTCGGCCCCCCTCAGTGTACATTGGTTATTGCCTGGCCAGACTTATTAAAATTTTCTGGCTCTGCCTCTGGCCCTTCCTCCAAGAATCTACAGTCTACAATAATCATGATGTCTTATCTGGATAGGGCCCCAAAATAAATGGCACTTACTGCTTCTTACAACCTTTGGTCGGCTCTGCTTTCAGCAAAGCACTCACAGCAAAATTTGAGCTCCGTCAAATCACTTTTAGTATGGAAGAAGATTAGGGCCACTGAAAAAAAAAGTTAACAGATTTTTAAATATTTCAGTTTTACATGGGAAAAAAGCCAGAATTCTGACTTTAATCTCAGAATTCGAACTTTTTTCTCAGAATTTGGACTGAATTCTGACAGCTAACAAACATGTTAGCATCAAGCTGTAGCCATGTCTGTGTTAGAGACTAGTTCTCTTGTTTTAATTAGCTTCTGCTCCTCCATCAATGAAATAGCATCACGGGGATCCCTCTCGCACCTAAAAAGTTGCTTTATTTAATCATTTTGAGTGATTAAATAAAGCGAGTGCCCCACATGTCTTCCTTCATGGTGCCCATCTACATTAAGATCCAAAATTCTGAGATTAAAAGACAGAATTCTGAGATTAAAAGTCAGAATTCTGAGATTTAAGTCATAATTCTAAAGATTTAAAATCATAATTCTAAGATTAAAAATCATAATTCTAAGATTAAAAATCATAATTCTAAGATTAAAAATCATAATTCTAAGATGAAAAGTCAGAATTCTGAGATTAAAAGTCAGAATTCTGAGATTAAAAGTCAGAATTCTGAGATTAAAAGTCAGATTTCTGAGAATAAAAGTCAGATTTCTGAGAATAAAGGTCAGAATTCTGAGAACAAAAGTCAAAATTATGACTTTTTTTCTCATACTGAAATAAAATGTAAAAGTCAGTTAACTTTTTTTGTTCTTTTCAATGGCCCTAATCCTCTTCCGTACTTTTAGTCATCGTCTAACCGGAATCCTGAAAGGATGTTTACCAATTCTTTACATGCTTGACTTCATTTAATTAATTTATTTTCACAAAACGACTGGAGCGGGCAAACTTTCCCAAGAAAAGGAGAAGAAAACATGCCTACATAGAGCTTTTTCTCTGCTCAGAAAGAATGACTCATGTCCACATTCCTGAAAGAGGCAACTTTTTTGCGGCTGGGCTGCAGTTTCCATTTTGTTTTATTTTGGTCCTTATGAAACATGGTTTCTGGGCAGTAACGGGCCCGCGAGGCTCCAACAGCGCAGGAACAAAACGTGCAAAGAAGTAAAAAAAAAACCAGCTGAACAAACTGACCTCTCGAAAAGCATCCTGAGTAGTAAAACCCCCGCAGCCAGAGGGAAGGCATGGCAGAGCATATGCTGCAGTCTGGGGTACTCCACTCCAGCTGCTGGCTGCTCCAGGTCTGCCCACGAAACATTTTCAGGAAGCCAGAAAGTCTCACTCCAAATCCAGGCGGAGATAGAAGAAGTCATCGGGGAGCAGAAAAGAGTGAAGCCCAAAGTAAAGCAAGTTGTCGGTGAAGCGTTGTCTCCCGGGCTCCTCGCTGAGCTTAAACAGCATTACTAACTCTCAATGAGGAAACTGAACGTTGGACTCTGCCAGGCGACAGGCTACGCCCACCACTGTTTACATACAGCCCCAGGCTTAATGGACTTATGCTGCCAATTAATGTTAGCAGCATCACACTGCAAACACACCTTTCTCTAACATTTTAGAACAACTATTTAAAAAGAAAAGAAAAAGAAAAGAATTTTTCAGTTCATTTCTGCTGAACTCAAAGTTTTAGTAGACATGACACTTTATTTATTTCTTTCATTTGTCAAATTTCTTATTTATTTTTGTGTCCTTTCAAAAATGATTGATAAACATTATTAAGTCTAAAAAAGAAAAACAACTTGAAAATAAACATGAGCCGCATTCATGGACAGAGGCCTTCTGCTAAAAATAAATCTGAAATTACGGCTAAATAAAGAAAGTTAAGGCTAAAATGTGAGATATCATCAAGTTTCTGTACCAAAAAAATAATAAAATAAAACCTGTCAAAGAAAATAATTTTTTACTGACTACTTTAACACCTCGTGTATGATTTTAAAGTAAAATATTAATAGGTATTGATTATTTTCAATGTTTTCATGATGTACCCATAGACATACTTATATATCATTATCAAGAGAGAGAGGGAGATATTTCTTGATTCTTGAGTGTTTAGATCAAATCTCAAGGTTTAAATAAAGTAAATTAAGAAAACATCAAATTTTAAAAGTGATGTGGCCATTCACAGGTTTGTGAATTATTAATATCTAACCACAAACTCCTAATTTTTAGTTTTAATTATTCAATTCCTCGATTAGAAGAGCATTATCACTTTCACACCATGCTGCAGACTTCCTTAAACAAAGGAAGCAGACAGTGACAACATATGATGTTTTATTGATTTTTTTTGTCCTGCCTGTATGTTTTAGTTGTTTCCCTTTAACATGACTATGTTAGAGCCTTTGAGGCAACATCGGGTATGATGTTCTGACAGTGACCACAATGACATGGCATTTTACATTTGTTGTTTTATCATAAATGCTATTACATGGTTGCCATCTCCAACAGCCATTCTTTAAAATTAATAGAATTATTTCTATTTCTATTATTCTGATCATATATGTTATGTAGGAATAAGACCTCAAACAAAGTTTATACCACTATATGATTGTTTTTATCATGTAAACACTTATGTAGTGTTTACATGATAAAAACAATCTTTATAATGAAATTTAAGTGACCTTAAATAAAATTAATCAATCATACTAGATTATTAAAGAGGAAATGTGTTATAAAACAAAACTGAAATGAGAAAAAGTGTCCTCTCCTTATCATATTGATTTATTTTGTCTCTTCCTAAGCACCTTCTTCAGATTTGACTTTTTATGTGATAGAATAACAGATAGATAATTGAGAAGGTAAAAGAAAATCCCACATTGTTTCCAAATTCAATATTAATAAAGCTTTATTGGTTTTTAACTCAGATAAAACCAATAGCCTTCGGAGGCTACTTTATGATTAATTAGACTACACCTATGTCTCATTTCCCCCTGACAACGTCTGATGGTTTCTTAGCATGCATCTCTGGCTGCTCTCTGACATATCAATGGATGAAAGCCCATCACCTTCAACTAAAATCTTAAAAAAATTGAACTGCTATTTTTCCCAGCCAAACCAACCATGCACTACAATATTCACATCCAGAGTGGATACCTGTCTCTGACTCCATCAAAGGCAGAAAGAAACTTCAGTGTCATGATTGGTGACCGGCTGACCTTTAAAGATCTGTTTTTTTTTATCTTATCGTTTAGCACTACTGAACATAAGAAAGATCCATCTATACCTAACCCAACATACTACCCAGCTCCTGGTGCAGTCTGTGGTTATCTCCAGCCTTGATTATTGTAATGTACTCTTGACTTAACTCCCTGTCATGATTGGTTTAAGCAATCTGACCCACATGCAGAGAACCACTCAGAGACCAAGGGGAAAAGTTTAACGGGTTTATTAAATGTAGATGGATAATAGAAGTTGGATCTGGAACTCAGTGGACTGGTGAACCGGAACTGGAAAGTCTGAAGGGGAGATCACAGTGATCAGTTCAGAGACCGTAGGAAATTTGACTGAGGCTTGAATATTACTGGAGAGGGGCTCACATTTGATGGGGGCTCTCGTCAATCCTTGAATCCAGCTTGTGGGGGTTAATCCAGAGAAGAGGGAACTCATTGGAGGGAGGACAGATAGACAAGCGTTGGACCCAGAGGAGTAAAGGAGCAGACTGTCACTTGGATTTCCGATGAGGACTTGAACGGATCATGTGGAGGTTTTCCCCTGCTCGGTGTGTACTCAGTTAATCCTTCCAGGGGGAGAAGGTCCAGGTATCCAGTTACTCAGGAAGGCTTCCTGCCGAAGAGCAAAGACAAAAACCAGATAAGACTCAGAGAAACAAAGCTTCGGTTAGACTCTGCTAATCTCAGCTTGGCTAGAGTACCCAAAACTGGCAAACACTCTGGCGTCGAGGTAGTGACAGCCCACTGCTCAAATACTCCTCCAGTAATGATCCAACAAGCCGCAGGTGTGCAGGGAGGCCTAACGAGGACAGGGCACCACCTGGTGGTGGAGAAAGAAAAACACACAAACAACCCACACAAACTGGATTCCTAACACTCCTAGCATTGTTCAATAAATCCATTACAAATGATCCAAAACGTGACGACGTAGCTGGTCTTCAATCAGCCAAAAAAGTCTCACATCACCTCTCTGTTACTTGGACTTCACTGGTTACCTCTGGCTGCCTGCATCAAATTTAACTCCCTAAGGCTAGCCAACAATGTGCTTAAGGGTATGGCTCCCGTCTACTTGAACCCTCTTGCAAAAGAGGTTGCAAATGTCACAGCTCGGTTACTCCTTTTAGCAATGGATTGTTGTATAGCAGTGCCTACATAACGCTTAAGGCAATCCAGACTGTTTTTATAGGTTTTTCCAAGATGGTGGAATGACCTACCAAGCGCTACAAGAACAGCAGCGCCCCTCTTTATCTTTAGGAAAGTCTTAAAGACCAACTAAGTCGCTTCGGATAAAAGTGTCTCCTAAATGCATAAACATAAACATTTGTTCTCATTGTAAATCCAGCTGTTCTGTGGAGACATCAGAGGTTTGTTAGAGAACAGAACCCTAACTTTTATGGATGAGTGGCTGAAAGCCAAAATAATTATTGTTTGCAGTTTACCTAAAGCCATAGAAGCTATACTGTAGGTAACAGGTGCTGAAGGAGCTAGTTGTATGTTTAAGAGTTAGTTGTAAGAAAAAAAAACTCATCATTCTAAACATTACACCCCCTCTGTTAAAACTGCTGCTGCAGAGCTAAACATTCACAAGCCCTGAAAGAATATATTAGACCTGCAACAGAGGCAGTTCACCTTCCACAATAACTACTTACTACTAAGAGAACAATTACTCTGACCAGACAGCCAGAGCTAACATTGAATCAAGGTGTATTTATCTCAATGAATGGGCTAGTTAAAGTCTGAGCCTAAATATAATTGAGCATCTTTGGCAAGACAAACAATGCTAACAAAAGGCTCTTAATACAACCTGACTCAAGTTGAGCTACTTGCAGAGAAAAATTTGAAAGAAACATATTCTTCATGTAGGGGACTAAAGACTTTAATAGCATCAAAAGGCAGCTATACTAAATATTAACTCTTCAAGGCCAAATAAAAATGTTCAAATCAAATGGAGCATTTTCCTTTAAATCCCAATAAAATACACTTACTGTAATCTGAAAAAATATGAAGCAAGTTTAAAGGATATAAACAATTTAGCAAAGCACTGTACATGATCACCACCCAGGGTGCAGACCAGGAAGCAGAGTTGTAGTTTAACACACATCTCTGCAGCTTCTCTACTGTTACCCACTCTTTCCTCCATCCAGACAGTGTCTTGCCCACGACCAAAATCTAATAAATTAGCAAAGATTCCCAAAGGAGTAAATCATGATAATCTAATTAAAATCAAAATAACTCCAATTGGGGAAAAAGTTAAAACAATTAAATGCGGTCTGTTTAACATAAGATCGCTTTCCTCTAAAAGTCTACTAGTTAATGACTTGATTTGTGATAATCACATTGACTTGTTTTGCCTTACAGAAACCTGGCTGCAGCAAGAGGATTATGTGAGCATAAATGAGGCAACTCCTTCAAGCTTTTTCAATTTTCACATACCCAGAAGTTCTGGGCGAGGAGGAGGAGTAGCAACAATCTTCCAGTCTGACTTACTGATTACTCCCAAAACAATTAATACCTACAACTCTTTTGAACATTTAACCCTTAATTTCCCTGATCCAAATTTCAAGGCAAGAAAACCTCTTCTTTTTGTAACTTTGTATCGTCCACTAGGTCCTTACTCTGAATTTTTAGATGAGTTTTCAGAGTTCCTTTCTGATTTGGTATTAAATACTGACAGGGTCATCATAGTGGGAGATTTTAACATCCATGCTGACATTGAAGGCGATAGCTTAAGAGCAGCCTTTAATGCTATCTTAGACACTGTTGGCTTTGTTCAAAATGTGAATAGTCCCATGCATTCTCATCTTCATACTTTGGATCTTGTGCTGACATACGGCATAGAATGTGAAGAAATAACAGTATTTCCTCACAACCCTGTCCTCTCTGACCACTTTCTAATAACCTTCAGGATTACTTTAACAGAGTTCTCCTCCCCAAAAGAAGGTTCAATTTTATTGGATCTTTATCAGATAGTGCAGTTATAAATTTTAAAGAATCTGCTTCACTTTCTCTCTCCTCTGTGTCGCTGAGCAGTGCTGCAGAGTGCAAAAGCATAGCTTATTCCCCTTCACAGGTTGATGATTTTGTTGATGGGGTTGCTAGTTCTCTGCGTATTGCCTTAGACAACGCAGCTCCTTTGAAAATGAAAACCGTTAAAAATAGAAAGCTTGCTCCTTGGTTTAATGCAGAGCTGCGTACTTTGAAGCAAAATCCTAGGAAACCGGAGAGAAAATATCGCTCCACAGGCCTGCGGGAGTCCTTCCTAGTCTGGAAAAATGGTTTACTGCTGTATAAGAGGACCCTTTGTAAAGCAAGAGCAGCATACTTCTCCTCATTAATAGAGGAGAATAAGAATAATACTAGATTTCTTTTTAATACAGTTGCCAAACTCACCCAGAGCCATAGCTCTGTTGAACCGTCCATTCCACCTGCTCTTAGCAGCAATGATTTTATGGGATTCTTTATAAATAAGATTGATCTTATTAAAAATAAGATCATAAGCACTCCTCTATCCGCGATTGTACCTGAGGTAGTCATGGAATCTGAACCGGGTTTAGACTGCTTTGATCCAGTTGAACTTTCTGAATTAGCAAAATTATTGTCTTCATCTAAGCCTTCAACTTGTATGTTAGATGCAGTTCCAACCAGGTTATTTAAGGAGGTATTCCCTTTGATCTCCTCCTCCATTTTAGATGTGATTAATCTATCTCTGTTACAGGGATATGTACCTAAAGCTTTTAAGGTTGCTGTAATTAAACCTCTGCTTAAGAAACCGTCTCTTGACCCAGATGACTTGGTCAATTATAGACCTATATCCAATCTTCCTTTCTTATCCAAAATTCTTGAGAAAGTAGTTGCCAAACAAGTTTGCGATCACTTACACCATAATGAACTTTTTGAAGAGTTTCAGTCTGGCTTTAGAGCTCATCATAGCACTGAAACAGCTCTGGTGAAAGTCACTAATGATATTCTCATGGCCTCAGATAATGGACTTGTATCTGTGCTCGTCCTGTTGGATCTTAGTGCTGCATTTGATACAGCTGACCATAATATTCTTTTAGAAAGACTTGAATATTTTGTTGGAATTAAAGGAACAGCACTAGACTGGTTTAAATCTTATCTATCTGATCGAATTCAGTTTGTTCATGTTAATGATAGATCTTCAACACGCTCAAAGTTTACCTGTGGAGTACCACAGGGATCAGTGCTAGGACCAATTATCTTTACTTTATACATGCTCCCAATTGGTAGAGTTATTAGACAGCATGGGATTCATTTCCACTGTTATGCTGATGATACCCAGCTATATCTGTCTATAAATCCAGATGAAGCTAACCCATTACATAGATTACAGGCATGTCTTGAAGACATAAAAACCTGGATGACTCTTAACTTTCTGCTTCTGAATGCAGACAAAACAGAAGTTATAGTCTTTGGACCAGAGTCTCTGAAAAAGAAACTGATTAGCCAGTCACTTCATTTGGATGGGATTAAACTGATTTCAGATAATAATGTAAAAAATCTTGGTGTTTTTTTTGATCAGGACCTGTCATTTAAATCCCATATCAAAGATGTTTCTAGAATTTCCTTCTTTCATCTGAGGAACATTGCAAAAATTAGAAATATCCTGTCCAGGGGTGATGCTGAGAAACTAGTCCATGCCTTTGTTACTTCAAGGCTGGACTATTGTAATTCTTTACTATCAGGAAGTCCACAAACTGTAGTTAAAAGCCTTCAGCTGATCCAAAAGGCTGCAGCCAGAGTTCAAATGAAAATTAAAAAGAGAGATCATATCTCGCTTATCCTGGCTTCTCTTCATTGGCTTCCTGTTAAATCAAGAATAGAATTTAAAATCCTCCTTCTCACATATAAAGCCTTAAATGGCCAAGCTCCATCTTATATCAGAGATCTGATTGTTCCTTATGTTCCTAACAGAGCACTTCGCTCTCAATCTGCAGGTTTACTAGTGGTTCCTAGAATTTCTAAAAGTAGAATGGGAGGCAGATCATTTAGTTATCAGGCTCCTCTCCTGTGGAACCAACTACCAGTTTTAGTCCGTGAGGCAGACACCCTGTCTACTTTTAAGGCTAGGCTTAAAACTTTCCTTTTTGATAAAGCTTATAGTTAGAGTGGCTCAGGTTATCCTGAGCTATCTCTATAGTTATGCTGCTATAGGCTTAGACTTTTGGAGGACATAGGGACCCCCATTTCATCATTCTGCTTCATTCTCTCTCTGTTCTCCTATTCTGCAGAATCTGTTAGTTCAATCTCTAATCTTCTGCTCTCTCTGGTTTTCCTCAGAGTAGCTTTGCCTCGTCTGTTCCTGTTTGGCTGTGACTCCATCCTGGAAAGAAACATCAGCTGTGCTGCTTCCATCAACACCCTTGTTATAGATGTTGGAGATCGGCCTGTTTTCCAGTGTGGTCCTGTTTCTCTGACCGTGACTGAGTGGATGTGCTCTCTTCGTCCTCTGGCATGGGAGCTGCCTTGGAGCTTGTCTGCCTGGCTGTGTGTTTCCTGGACGGGGCCGCCTTTTACAGCTGCTTTTTGTATCTCTGCTTCTGTCTCCTTGAACCCCAGTCGGCCTCGGCAGATGGCCGCTCACACTGAGCCTGGTTCTGCTGGAGGTTTCTTCCTGTTAAAAGGGAGTTTTTCCTCTCCACTGTCGCTACAAGCATGATTAGTGTGAGGGATTGTATTTGAGTCAATGAGTCGATGCAATCAACTGGTTTTCCTTAGATAGAAAACTTTGTATCAATTTGACTGTATGATCTGGTTGAACTGTAAAGTGCCTTGAGATGACATGTGTTGTGAATTTGGCGCTATATATATAAACTGAATTGAATTGAATTGAATTATACAGATATATTAGGATCCAAGACTGTTACTGTAGTTACTGTTGTTGCTGTGATGTACAAACAGGACACAACATTAGAGGAGACGGATGCTGCACATGTATGACGTACAGTCTTACAATATGTGTCATCCTCTAGGTTTATACATCAGTACCAACCAATGCTAGAGCTGCTCCAGAGCCTGAACAAAACCCCTCTGTGTCAGTGTGCAGCTGCAGCTTCCGAGATGCCCTATATGGATCTGTGACCCAGTGTGGAGGGGCTTTAGACTTCAGACACATAAAAGGGGGGAGTGGAATCCTGTGTTTCAGGACTGTCTTTTTACTGAAATTGAGCGCAGGGTGTTTATCACACTGTAAGTTTTTATTTTAATCCACCTAGTTCAAATTCATTATGAGTGTGAGTCCAGATACAGCAGAGAGGTTCTGTTTACTGTTCGTCATCACATCATTGTCAACCCCTTTCCCTGCTTGGACTGCTCCAGTGTGCGTCTGAAAAAATCTGATAGTTGGGGAAGAGTTCTTCATGTCAGGGACTGCTTAGCCTCAGCACACAGAGCACTGCAGCTCCTGGATCACCTAAGGTAATATTATATAAAGAGCTTTACTTTTTAACCTTCTAATCTGTATGTATTATGTCATCTGGTCTGTAGGGAGATTTTAAAGCTGCTGTTTCTTTTAGAAATAACCACTGTCCTCATGGATGAGAGTGCACTTTTGTGCTTTTCCCAAAGGAATTACATCAATAATACCAAATAATTCTGTTTGCCAGGTTTTCTGCTTATAATCTGTTTTTTTTTTATTCTATTAATTTAAGCAGATATCAAATGGATCAGAAAGAGCTGAGTGATCCGCTCAACAACGTTTCTTTGATCAAAGGTAATCCAGCTCTGTTATTCTGCATCTCTACATGCTTTTGCATAATTATTTAAGCTGATTGAGTTAGTGATATCTTACTTATATCTTATACTGCGATGCCTTTTCTATAAGAATACTTGTGTAGTATGAGTAAGATCAGCATTTGGAGCTATTTTTTGTATTTAAAGCATATGATTCTGTATGTGGCCTTATTTTAGAGGATGACCTCTTGTTCTAGCTTATTAGAGGATGAAGGCACTCTGCACAGAAGATGGTGCCGATAACGCAGTGATGGTTCAACACAAGACCTTTGTGCAAGTGTATGGATGAATTTGTAATGCTACACTGCACACTATGACGAGATAGAGCAAACAGTGTCCTCTGTTTCATTTTAGAGAGACACCTTCAGACTGAAGGTTTTGGAGCTGTAACCAAATATCACTGCTGGCAAGGCTGATCAGCGCTTTCTAAGAGAATAATGTGGACATTCAGAGAAGCTCTGATTCACTTTGCTCTGACAGCTTCATAGGGGGCAATAGACGCCAGGCAAACATGGACCATGATGGCTCTAGCCTTAAGCATATGTGCTAAAAAAAGACTTTTTCCTTCATTTTGTTTTCTTTCTTCACCCGAGGCAGCGTGATGCTCGCTGTCCCCCTCCGGAGCTCAGCCGGTATTTTTACTCATAGGCTAATCTATAACTGCTTTGTCACTTGTCATTCTGTGACACTAAAAGCCAGAACTGTTAATGTTTCTAAAGATAACCTGTTGCAGTCTGATGTGAAATATCCCTCTAGTGTCTTTTAAACATAGTGAACACAAACAGCTGACCTACAGGACAGGGAGCCCACTCACATTCTGGTTCTCGCTCATACATATGCAAACATGCCCTCTCCTCTTTTGTCTGGCACGCAGCTGGGTGGTCATGTGCTTTACCCAAAGGATGTCACCAGCCTCTAGCCATTCTTTCACACTTGTTCAGTGTAGGGATGTCGACGGACAAATGCAACTTGTCATGGCACTGCAACGGGTCCATTTATGGTGCTTAAGCTTGATCTACCCGAGCTCTTTGTTTTGGGCCCCAACCAAACATTTGTCCTGGGATTAGGTCATCTCTTTTATTAGCCATGGTTGATTAAAGAAATTTCCAAAGCTGAAATATTTGTGGGTTTGTTTCCCCCTCAACCAGGAAACACAACAGACCCATGACGACATTGGAAGATCCATTTCCTTTGTGCATTGTTTGTTGTTGTTTTTTTTTTATTGCTATTAATAAACTATGTCGATGTGTCAGAAAGCGGTGTTAGGCAGGGGTGATGGACAGTTTGGTTTAAAAGCTTGGACAGAAAATTCAGATGGCTGCAGTTGTGCCTATTTCTGGATGAGCAATTAGTTTATGTAATAGGCCTATTTCAATATCTTGGGAAATCATCTTCCAGCCCTGGTTAAGCATTTAGGCCTACAGCTGAATATATGTTGTCAGATATTCTGCTCCTGTATTCTTGCAGAAACTCTTCTCATCATACAGTTCATCTATTCATTCATCCTATAAAATTTATGGCTTTTAGTTTTGCATTTGAACAGTTGTTTTCCCAGTGGGGGACCACATAACCACAAGAAAAACAAAAACAAAACAAGGCTTGGATGCTCAAGTTTAAAGAAATCCATCTGCATAGACTAAAACCACCACCCGCCAAGCATGGGAGTGCAAGCATCATTCTCTTGGGTTTTTTGTTTTGCGAATGGAAAATTGGGTTGAAGGATGAAGAAAGTAGATTTTCATCTCAAATCACCAGCTTGATGCCTAAACCCAGAAAACATCTGGCTGGCCAGGTTCCTCACAGGAAAACGTGATTCAAATACATCTGGCTATAGCAAATTAAACCGAAACTATTGATAATTGGTGTATGAATATATTTAACCTTGTATATAAACTTAACCGTGTATTGATTTAGAAAAATCCACTATAAAACAAGATGTGAGCGGCAAGTCTTTATCTTAAAGGTATAGTGGAGGATTTTAGCGAATTTTTGTAAAGACCTGCACTCTCCACAAAAAAAAAAAAAAGCACTTGCACAACCTGGTACCCGAACCCGACTCCCGAGAGGGAACGCTTATTAAATGCGAGCCCATTTCTCCTTGTGCGTGCTGTGTTTAAAAGTTGCTGTTTACATCGACAAGCTTACTTTCCAAAGGAAGATTTGCAATTTTTCACTATGTCAGACACCGCTAAGCGAAAAATGGGGATGGGCTCGTAGGACGGCAGCAGAATTATTGACAATTAGGAGGACCACTTATTTTGATGATCCTCCCAGAAAAAGAACATCCTCCACTATGCCTTTAAAAAGCATTACAAGTATAGTATAATCTACTATATGCCAGCCTAAAAAAGAACGATTTAAATGCATTGTTATAGCTTTAAAATGATATTCATGCTGATGTCTGTTAATATTTACTAGTACTCTAACTTAATTTGCAATCCTTTCAACCTGAAGGGAACTCATCTCTGCCAACAGTAACTTTTTAAACTTTTGTATGATCAGATGATCTGACCAAGTCCAACATGGGTTCTTCTGGTGAATCTGAGAAATTGATTCAGCGCCTGAATGATGAACTTCGAGAGGCTCGGGAGCTAGCTAATACAGAGAAGCAGAAATACATCGAGCTACAAGGTAATGAACATACCAACTATTTAGATTCAAATTGCATTCATGCCACAAAATACAGCCACGCTGACTGTAGGTTAAAATAAATGATATTTTTAAAAGGTGTTCTGGAAGAAGAGAGGAGAGAGCATAAGCAACAGGCTGACCAATCTTCAAAACAAAATAAACTTCTTCAAGGTACATTTTACATTCATAGACTTGAAATGTTAGAGTGATTACATGGTACATTGGCTTATCTGAACAATTACTTGGGTTTGCACAGGCCAGCTCCAGCAGCTTCAAGATGAGGTGGATATTCTCAGGGAGCAGATGAATGTCTCCTCTGGTTCACGTGAGGACCTACAAAGAGCAGAAGATGAGGTGAAGTCTCTGAAACGGGCCCTGGAGTCTGCTTCTGCAGAACGGGACCGTGACGTTGCAGCAGTCCAGTCTAACCTGGCTACTGCTTCCAAGGACCTGGACAAGTGGCGCCAGACTGCCAGCAAATACGAGCGGGAGATGGAGGGCCTGCGACGTGATCTGGAGCAGCAGAGCAAGCAGTGGCAGAAGACGGCCGAAATACAAGGTACAAAGTGGTGCAATTATTTCAAAAGCAAATCAAACTATTGTTTTCTCTACTGCTTATTAGGTGGTTTCAGATAGGAGTTGCTTGAGAAAGTAAAACATTTTTAAGTCCTATTTCAAAAAAACATGTTATTTCTAATTGATTAGATTATCACAAAAAATCTGTTATTTCATGAATGGAATAAAATAAGTGAAACCACTGTAATGTAAAGATTAAAAATAGAGCAAGTGAAACTGAAAGTTAAGTGGAAAAGTGGAAGGAAAAAGTGAGGTATGGTAAAAAAATAAAATAAAATAAAAAGCTGCACCAGCATCAAGAAAAATGCAGCCAAAATCTTTTTTTTTTTTTTTTTTTTTTTTTTTTTGGGATTTTCTCCTCTTTTTGTCATGATTTGGAGTGCCATATCATGTGCTGGTGTTGGTCCACTGTGTTTTCTGAGGGTCATAGTGAACACAGCTATCTACAAAATTTTAGGGAACCTTATTACAAACTTTGTGGTGATGTTAATTTAATTTTCCAGCAGGGCTGGCTCTGTCCACGCTGCTAAAAGTACCAAAAGGTGCAGTCTTCTAAACTCAAGGCACTTTACAGTCACTTCAATCAAGTTGTGCAGAGAATGAAATTCATTTACTTCTTAGAGGTCTGACATTTCTATTTAAGACAGGGCTATTTTTATCTTATTTTATTTGACAACGTTTTAAGATACAAAAATTTAGATTTTTATTACTCGTAAACATCAGTCCTTAAAGTTATAAGAAATAATTCTTTTTTTTGCCCTATATAAGGAATCAATAAAATAAGAGTTTCACTTTCTATAAGAAGTGGTGAAAACGGTTTGACAATATAAAAATTTCTGAGCTGTACTTAAATTCGTTATGTTCACTTTTTTAATTCAGTCACTAGTAACAAATAAATTTTTTGATGATAAATTCATTGAGATTCCTCACTTCTGATGTATTGCAATGCTTCTTAAAGTCTGCCTGCAAATTAAAAGCAAACCATCTGCTTAAAGAAAGCATGATTACATAAACCACTCTCTTGTTGCAGCCAGTGAGCTCCAGTCTATGCAGGTAGAGTGTAACGGTCTCCAGAAAGAGTGCTCCATCCTGCGATCCGACAAACAGGACATGGTGAATAAGCATCAGAAAGAAAAAAACAGCTTGCAAAGCGAATGTGCTTCACTCAGGGCAGAGAGGGAGGAACTCCTCAAGGCTCACCAGAAAGAAAGGGCCAGTGTGCAGAGTCAATGTGCAGCACTGCACAGTGAAAAAGAGGCATTGCTGCAGAAACAGCTGCAGCTGGAGCAGGATCTTGTCAGGTCAGTGCACTGCAATATATTATTAAGGTTTAGCTTTACCCCCACATTTAGCTCTGTACCTTTGGCCAGCACCATTATGATCAGCTAAACATTAAACTAACCTCTGCTCATCCTGTGGCACTAATGTTTGGTTTTGCCTTTTATATTTTTTTGTAGTTTGCGTGGTCAGAACACTGACCTGAACAGCAAACTTAAACTCCTGGAGGAATCCCAACAGGAGCTGCAAAAGAGTCTTGTGGCCCTAAAACTTCAGCACCAACAGGATAACAGCAATCTGCAAACCCAGCTGGATGAGGCAGAAAGCCACTGTAAGACTCTGCAGAAAGAGGTACATTCAGGTTAATGTCTAAAGATCCAACTTCAGGGTTAATATTTAGATCAAGTCTTTCGTTTACTCTGCATTTTACTCATATTTTTAAGAGCCTCATCAAAAAAGTCAAGCAAAATGAGGATCTATGGTCATTATAGTTCCACGTTATATCTGGCGTGCGGATCTGCAGCTGCCTCTGGTGTTCTGCCGATCACATGACTTTACAGCCACAGTACTGACAGTATCTTTAACTATTAATGACGCATTACTCTCAGCAAATAGGAAAACTTCACTTTTTAAAGGAAGGGAATTTTTAGCACAGAAGTCACCCGAGGTTAAAATGTTTGCTGTTGTTTTATTCAGACATGATGAAATAAAGGATTTTTTTTTAAAAAGGTAGAACAAATAATTCATGACTTTACCCACAATCTTTACAAGAATTACTTTAAAGGTTTAGTGGAGGATGTTCTTTTTCTGGGTGGATCATCAAAATAACTGGTCCTCCTAATTGTAAATCATTCTGGTGATATGTTAACGTAAGGCCGTCCTATGTGCTCAACCCCAGGTAGCTATCTTACGGTGGTGAGTCTGACATAGTGCAAATCTTTTGGAAAGTAAGCTTGGATGAGCGATGCAAACTTTTAAACAGAGGGTGCACGAGGAGAAATAGGCTTGTGCATGCTCTCGCATGTGTTTATAGGTTACCCACTTGGGACAGTGTATAGGGTTGTGCATGTGCATTGTTTTTTAAAGTGGAGAGGGCGGGTCTTTTTTAAAATTAGGGAAAATCCTCCTCTATAACTTCAAGAGATGTTTTCCCCAGTTCAAGTAGCATTTATCATTATAAAATCAGACCTAAAACTTTAATCGTGCCACAGCTAAAAAAATTTTATTGACAGGCTTTTTATAATAAAATGTCATGCAAAGCAGTAATTAGGGAGGAAAAGTCCTGTTTTTTTCTTTTTTAAACTAAAATAGGCCAAGCTGGACTTTTTCTCCCTACTTACTGCTTTGCATGGCATAAGTTATTGTACAAAAAATTAGCCGTGGCAGGTTAAAGTTTTAGGTCTGATATTATAATGGCGAATGCTAGGCTAATTCAGGTTTTAGGCAGGCATAACTACAACTTGTCTGCATATTCTAGCCCTCATGTCAGTAATGAAGGTTTAAATAATGGCAAACAATAACTAAACATTTCAACATACAGTGACTTGTATGAGTAATTCATAATCAGTTGGCTAATTTTGTCACATAACAACTACACATTTTATTGTATTCTATTGGGATTTGATGCGGTAGACATACAATTTTTTTTAAACTGATATAGCTGAAAATTGTTTGTTTTTGTATTCAAATACTTTTTTGCAAAACCACCTTGTGATTCAATCAAGTTTTTAAAATAATGTGTCAACAAGCTTTGCAAATTGAGCGGAAGGTTCTATCTGTATTTTTCTAGAAAAATAGGTCAAACTCAAATAAATTTGACAAAAACTATGTCCCATTCTTAAATTATGAAGACTTTAAAACATATGATTTCCTTTGATCTGAACCACCGCTGGCAGGGCCAGTGCCTCCCATAATTATTATTAAAGTAAACATCAGCCCCACTATCAGATTCCCTTCTAGAACTGTTCCTTCTAAATAAAAATATCACCACAGCATAATGCTGCCACCACCATGGCTTACTGTGTTGAAGCTAATAACTATCCTATGTTTTCCACCCTCTACCCCTTCCTACTGCTATAATTTGGTCTCATCTATATAAGAGAGGTTTCCTGTGCCTTTTACAAGACTTATGGTTTTCTTATGACTTTCTTCCAACAATGCTTTGTTTTTCTCTCTCTTTCATTAAAGAAAGATTTAGATAAGCTTGTAAACACTAACTGGAATCTGGTGGAATCACTGCTGTATATTCCCTGGTGTAATCCTCGAGCCATAATGGGATTATTCACTTTTGTAGCAGACAGGAGTGGCTTTGTAACACAGAAGAAAAAAATAGAAGTCATTCCTAAACTTTCAGCCACTGAAAAGGAAACAGAGGCTTCCATTTTTCAGCGGATGCTCTCAGCTTGCACTGATTAGCTGGACATAAAGTGGATTTAACAGTACAGGATAACTAACTGTTTTTTTCTGAAAGGATTCGTTTTTTTATGAGGATTAATTCTCTCAATTTGTTTTGTTCAGTATGAGGAAGCCCAAATGGAGCTGTCTGGATTAAAGGAGAGATATGAGAAGACTGAGCAGGAGAAACAGGTGCTTACAGATCAACTGGAGGAATTCAAAGCCAACATGAAGGATTTAGAGGAGAGAGGGTCAAAGGTGAGTACTGACCTGCCTGACTCAACCTTCTAAATAACCTCCTCTTTATATGTCACTGACAACACATCAACATAATACAAGTGTTCAAATAACAATCTGTAGTTGATTTAAAAGAATAATTAACACATCTTCTGTGAAGTATGTTTTCTGTAGTCAAGCTTTGCTTCCAATCTGCTGCAAATGTGGGTTTACTGGGTTTGTTTAGTTACAGTTTAAGGTATTCTAAGTGAAGTTTGAATCAGCTCTATGGTTCACATAATGTTTTTTATTATTTCAGCAGTCCTGTTTCAGTCCTCTCATCCACAGATGATTTTGGGCTTGTATTTTAACATTTCGATTTAAATATCTGCTGGTTTTCTAAACTTTTTGGAAAGTTTGGGATTTGATTTAATTGGTTTCTGGTTCTAGATAAGTTTGGGAGCCAAAACATATCGCAGTATGGAAAAACATTTATCCATCCATCCATCCATCCATCCACCCATCCATCCGTCCATCTGTCCATCTAACCATTCATGCACCTATCCATCCATCCATCCATCCATCCATCCGTCCATCCGTCCATCTAACCATCCATCCATCCATCCATCCATCCATCCATCCATCCATCCATCCATCCATCCATCCATCCATCCATCCATCCATCCATCCATCCATCCATCCATCTATCCATCCATCCATCCCTTCCGATACAAATGGTGGGTGATTCCATGCAAAAACCAGACCACTTTGGAGGTCTGGTTTTTTCAGCCAATGTTTTTTAAAAAGACCACAGCATCAAATGGATTGAGAACTCAGGAAATAAGTCTGTTATTTTAAGGTGAATATGAGTGAGTGTCATGAGCCTGGGATGGGGACCAGCAATAGCTCATGCTGAATAAAATCCTGATGTTTACTGTATCTGATAAAAGCATCCAAAGAATGTTTCAGTTTGGAGAAATGTTCATATTAAGCGGAAATCCTTTGATGCAGTGTTATTGGCTGTTACCCAACATATAAACAGCAATTTAAAGAAATTTAATCAAATGTTATGCTGTCAGCTGTGTGTATTGGTCTCTGCATGTAGGTTTTTATATCCACTTAACAGTACAGTACTAAAGAAACGTTGGTTAAAATAAGCTGAACACCTGCAGAAGTCTGTCCCATTGCAGTTGATTACTATCCCTTCCGTTCTGTAGACACCCCTTTTGCTGCCTGTTCAAGCCATAGTCATCGGCCTTATCCTGGCTTTGCTGTTTTGGTGCTTCAGCGCAATGTGGTAGTAAGGTACACATTATTCCTGCCGAGCCGGCCTACATCTATCATTGCTATCCGTGCATTTTGGATCATAGCATGACTTAAGTGGGTTTTCCTCAATTCCCAGAATGCCCTCCTCAGATTGAAACTGTCGTCTAACAAATCTAACCTCTCTAATCATGCAGCTTTCAACATCTGACATCTGTTTGTTGTGTCTGAATGGCTAACGCTTAACAACTGTTCCAGTTGGCTGACATGGTGCTTATTTTTATCCTAAAGCTTTTCTGTGTTTTTCTTTTCCATCTAGTGTGCTTCATCTTGATCTCTTCAAACTCCCTGTGTGAACTTGGGTGATATTCTGATGGGCGGTTTATATTTGGTCATTCTCAGTTTCTTTTCTCTCGTTTGTTGCTCGTTTCAGAAGCCGTGGATGCTCTGGGGGCCTGCGGTTGCCGTGGCTCTTACAGCTGTGACTGCCGCACTGCTCTTCAGAACCTGAGGGCAGACTTATTAAAGCAAGCACACACAGAAGTTTATCCTTGATTTGTGCAGAACCAGCCCCCTATACATATCTGTTATAGTAATCAGATGGGCTCATATTTGTTTATTTCATAAGATGCTCTATTTGAGTTGGCAGAGATGTTTCTAAAAGAATGTGAGTTTGTATGTCTGTTATTTGATGGGAGTTTAGTTGGCCTATGTAAAGTATCCTGACCCATAGGATTATCTGTTAATGAATGTAAAAACTTAAACACATTTATCTAATTCTATTTAGGTATATTTAATTATATTTAAGGTGTATCACTTGGAGTTTCTCTGCTCAAGGCACATTTTGGTAAGTGTTAGAATAATAAAGTGGTCACAATAACAGTCCCTAATAGAGTGCATACTGACTAAAACAGATTGAAGTGTATGTTTGTTGAGGGTGTGGAGGGATAACTTTGTGTTTGCATAACTGGAGGCACAGTTTTTGTGAACCTTATTGGTTTCATTTCCTTTTGTTTTCTCATAAGGGCATCAATAAACACAAATGCAGCAACTTAAGGTTTGAGTGGAATTTTTTTCTTCCTCTGCCTGGTTTCTTGTCTGCTAATGTTTTTATGTGTGTTTTAATTTGCTTTCTGTTGTTCATTTAAGGTTGGTTAACAACAGAAATATTTATCTTTTATTAACTCATGGGCTTTTGGAAACTCTTCAAATCCCCATTAGTAAAATGTTAGTTATGCTATTATTATTATGTAATTTGAACTTAGAGCAATGTATACAAACTTGAAAACTTATCCAAACCAATCTACCACTTTATGAAAATATTTACTTTTGTATTCAGGCCTTCTGGGTAAGCTTTCCTGTGTTTAAATACAGTCTGTGGAGGTCTTTTTTTTTAGCAGCTTGGTACATCTCCTTATTAACATTCGAAAAATATATCTACATTTTGCTAAATAGCTTAAGATCAATCAGATCAAATGGAAGATCCACAAAAAACAGCCTAATACATATCTTGAGACAACGGGAGAGCTTTGTACCGTTGCTGATTTGCATTCAGTGCTTTGGACACAATGACTGTATTTTATTCAGCTCCATCTATCAACACTGACCATCTATACTCTTAATACTAAAGAAAATTATCCTCACAGTTTGCCCGGAGAAAAGTCATCCTGTAGACAGATATCCCACCTGAGCTCTGGTTCTTTGCAGCTCCTCCAGTTTGCTTATGTTTTTATGCAACAGCAAGAGTCAAAAATACAAAAAATCTACTCCAAAGATGTAACTTAATTGGGAGCTAGTGGATTGCAAAAACGCAAACCCTGGTTTTCCATGTAATTCAGTAACTTTGTATTATTGCATTGAATAAGTTTGTTTTTAAAAAGGGATATTTCATAAAAAGAATCAGAATTACTTTATTAATCCTTGTGGGAAATTGTTTTCTTGCCGTGCAACCGTTTACAGAAGAGAGAAAAAAACATTGTAAGTACAATAGAGCATAGTATAATGAGACAGAATAAAATAAGTAAAATTTGTAAAATTCCAACCCACACAGTAAAATTACACCCTTTCCATATAAAAAGTGCAAACAGTGTAAAATAAGATATAATGATATTTGACTTGAAGAAAGCATAACAAACATCTCTGCTGAAAATCCAAAACTTATGACCAAACAGACAAAGAAAGCAACATTACCACACCCTGCTGCACTCTGCAACACAAAACACCCTGTACTTTGACCTTAACTTTGTAAAAGAGAGCTTTAAAAAGTTGTCAGGCTATCGGTGCTATAAATAAATAAAAATTTCCAATATCAATTAAGTTAATATAAGTTATCAATAGAGTTTTTTATTGGGCATATTTTACCTTTCTTAATGTATTTACGTTTATTAAACATTAATTTCAACTTAAAATATCCTTCTGCAAATAAACAGCATTCATAGTCACCAATTTTAACAAAAATATTTGAACAATTTCCAATGCTTTAGGTTCATGGAAAGTGAATCCCCAATTTTCATAGAAGTGGCTAAGTTGTTGGTTTATCTCTTTAAGGAATTGGGGTGTGAAAGAAGATCATCTGACTTGGTGTGAAATTTCTAGCTGCTTAATCTTTTAGCAAATGTTACTGGTCTCCTCCTGATGACTCACATTCCCAGTCTATCCACTAATCTAATCTTGGCAATGCTGACCTTCCTGGTGACAGCATATAATCAGTCTGAGCTGTCCCCCCCTTCAGGCAGCTTGTCCCTTTATAAGAGAGGTCATAGCAAATTTTGTCCAACATAACAAAATTGGTCAATTGTGTTGCATTGTCTTCTCTGTCCTGTTGGCTTTGCTGCATCACTAATTCCTCTAAGTTTACATGAAAAACAGCATAATGTGCGAGATATAGACACTTCTGTGGATGTTACTTGCCGACAGATTTAGGCCAGCAGGCTTTGTCCTAAACCAAAATATGAGTATCATTCCAACACAGGGCAAGCCCCTCTGCACAGCAAACACTTCCATTTCTTCTGCTCCACTTTGTATTTAGGTCATCTGTAGTGGAGGAGAGATTTTCAACCATGTTTTTAGCCATGCATTCATATGCTGGTTTTCATTTGTGCAGTCTTATCAGCCACAAAAAAAAAAAAAAACATAACGTAAAAATAGCAGAATAACAACAAAAACAAATATGAAAGGATGACTACAATTTAAAGCAGTCATCACAAGAAAATTGACATCACTAATTATTTTGTGAAACTCTTCTTGCAAGCAATCACAGAAATAATTCCATCACCATGTAGATAGCTGCATAAATATCTCTAATTCTTAACTGGGAGTGTTCAAGTCTCCATAACAATGTTATAATTGAATTTGCCACTCCAAAAAAGATTTTTTTTTTTTTAAACAAACAACTGGACTTTCTTTTCCAAGTTTGAATACATTTTGCTTCCCATCCAGGAAGCTTTTTCAATTTAAAATGTCTGGATTAGTGTTGAGTTCCAAGCTGTATAGGCCCAACAAAGCCTTGTTATGGCTTAGAAAACATGCAAATTGAACCGGAAGTACAGGTCTGCCCCTTAGGAATGGGCTTTGTTGAGGTCTTTGTTAGCTTGCAATACCCGAAACTAACCTATGCCTCTGAAAAGGGAGTTGTTAGGGTCATTTTTGGCCTGACTGGCCAGGCGAGATGTTTTGGTCACCTGCATAGCAATAGGGGTTGAGATGATAGTGGGAAGGAATCAACTCTATCGTTTAAGTTTAAGATTGGTTTTTCTCTCTTAACATAAATGGCTTCCTTCACACCCCTTTCAAACCACCTGTAATCCTTGTCCACAATATGAACATTCTGGTCCTCAAATGAATTCCCTTTGTCCTTAAGGTGTAGGTGAACAGCCATGCGTCTGTGGAAAGGTTGTTTGGTTTTCTCTAAAGATAAGAGCATTTCTCACTGCATTGAACTGCATACACCCCTCCACTCATCTTAGGTCTGGGGGTTATTTTGAATTGAAAATGCTTTCTAGATGGGTAGTGAAACATCATCAAACTTGGGAAAAAAAAGTTCAGTGGTTTGTTTTTTAACTTAAAAAAAATAACTTTTTTTTAATTGTTTTGAATGACTAATACCTGGATGACTGAGAATCTTCACCAGAATTTGCCACTCACAATATGGCAGTTATGAGGCCCTATCCTTTTTTTCATGGCTTACTCTGCCTCTGCTCTTCTCTGCGCACTGTGTTGAGTCATGGTGAGCTCAGGGGGAGGTGTTTTAAGGCTTCCTCAGTCTACTGTGCTTTTCCAATCAATCGGAGAAACTCTTAGAATTTCCTGTGAGGAGAATATCAATTACAAGTCAACATTTACGTCTTAGGTCTGCCCGGTTTCTCCAAAGTTGCTCATCCACCTGAAACTGGGGAAATGCTGCATCATTGCCAGTGGCTATAATTACACAGGGGACACGTCACAGGTTTGCCTCTATCATGACACCCAGTGGTAAACTCTGGTCTTGACAATGACTCGTTATACTGACAAACTGTATGTAGAAGTTAACAATAACATGCTTAGGTTTAATTGCAGACAGATTTACAAAGGGTTATTAAAATATAACTTACCATGCAATTTTAAGAGCCACAAATTAGATTTCAATTTCAATTCCTTGAAACAAAATATGCTGTGAGATGCTTCCTTTTAATTTAAAAGCATTTTTACGTAGCATTTCGCATACATAATTTCATTTTTTTTTTCAATGAGGTAGTATTTTCTTTTTATTGCTTTTACTCTGTGCTACGTAAATATATATTGGCTGATTTCTATAGCCGTGCATTCCTACTGTCAGAAGCAGAGTGGAGGCTCTGTGTTCCCTTTAAAAGATTGAGCGAATCATGTTGTGGCCCTGTTTCCCCTAATGATGAGTGATAATCAATGGATTTCACCAGAGCAAACATAATTTGTCAAAGCTAACTGCTCACTCCTCTGTGACTGTTTGTATCCAAAATTCAGGACACCAGATGGACGCTATTAAACATTTTACAGCTAGACAACAGCAGGACTGAAACAGCTTTTCCATGTGCATTCATGTGACAGTACTTTCATGAAGAGTAAGTCTTTTGATTTTTACTATATGTTATAAAATAGACAGTTTAAAATCTTTTTATTATTATTATTATGTTCCCCTCCCATCAGTTTTCTGGATTTTAAGAGCAGCCATGGCAGCTGAGCTGGATGTAGTGAACCTGTTCTTCATTGCTGGAGCTACACTGGCTATTCCCATCCTGGCATTTCTGGCTTCCTTCCTTCTCTGGCCATCTGTGCTTATTAAAGTATATTACTGGTAAAGTAGACTGCTTTGCATGAATATGTAACATCAGTGGTTAATGATTGCCTGTGTTGTAAATGTCTCACTAAAACCCTTTTTTGCTAAGTTTAATTCATTAAATGTACAGGTATTACTATGCAGAATATGTTTAGCCTACATATTGCTGCTCTATCCCAGTCAACCACTAAAGTTAAATCTTACTTATTTATTTTTATCCTTAATTATATATCAATTTCAAAATGATCTACTCCTTAAAACGTTCCAAGTTTTATTACAGTAATGAAAACCCTGGCATACACCTTACAGCTGATTGAACCTTTTTAAGTTGCAGTCCATATGCAGCTTGATAAGGGGAACAAAGTGTGGCTATTATGGTCTTAATAAAATCCATTGATTAATGTATCAATGAAAATCCTTTAGCTTTTAATTTCAGAACTGGAAATGAGAGTTTTAATGATCAAAGATTAGTTGCTTTTAAAATATGACTATAAATATTGTAAAGACATGTTACCTTTTCATATTGTTTATATCATCACATTAGCATCATATGTTAGTTATTTAGCCTGTTAAAAATGTTTTTTTTAATTATTATTATTTGACTGAAACATTTACCGTTAGTAAAAAGTTGCATGTGCATTTTTCAACATAAGTTAAGTTGTTTTGTGATAGTAATAGATGTTTGTTAGAGTGAACAACAGGCAATATAAGACGGAGGAATTCACCAGGCAGACCAGGGATGCGATATTAAAAGCTTTGAAAGGCC